TTTCAGCTCTTTGGCTATGACTTCATGGCCCGGTCCCAAGAGGGAAGAGAACAAGGAGGCGACTGGCTATGTTCCAGATGGTGCGAGGGGCAGGTCAGCAAGCATGGTTTTATGCTGCAAAGGGGCCTGCATAGATTTATGTATGCGTCGAGTGTGCGATGCCGAGCAGACAAGGTTGATGAGGACTACAACGTTTGGCTTCTTGAAGTCAATGTGACTTGCTTGCAATGGACGAATGCAGCCAGAGATGCATGACCAAGGGCGTATGATGCCACATGCCACGCTGTCAAAGACAATACAAGTATTTTGCGAAGTGACCGCACAACGTGGACAGTGCTTGTGCACTTTGACACAAAACACGGACCACGCATGTAAATCGCCACTCTCAAACTTCTTGCCGTATCTCTTTCTGTGAAATTCCAGTATTTGCCTTGTCTCCGCTAGCAGGCATGACCTTTCCCAATGCTGACTGATGACAGGGTTTCGTGCATATTTGGCTCAGGACATTCCAATGTTGCACGCATCTGGGCCTGTGACGAGTAGACTTTGCGATCCTTGCAGCCTGGCCTGAAAGCTGTCGAGAGTCAAAGTACAGTACCCCATTAGCTTGCGTGCCACCAGAACAGTACGCAAGAATTCCCACATTCCGGGACCCAAGGGTTGTCAAAATGCGATCTTGTGCAATGAGTGGTCAGCCCTTCTGGCCATAAGATCTACAAGTCAAGCATCTCATGTCGAGTGGGGCCGAACCGGAGCGGAGCTCGCTCGAGGCCTGCGAGATGCTCTGAGCATTGTTCTGGATGGACCCGACCGGTGGGCGGCTTAAGCTCAGACGAGTGGCTTTGCCAGCTTTTGTCGCGCAAACTGATCTGATCCCTTGGCATCTTGCCGTGCCGCGCGAGGCCAAAGGGAGATTCACCGCTTCGATTCGAGCTGCTTTATCGAGGGCCAGAGAGCCTTCAGCTGCCTTTGGTGAGTTGCTGCTGTCAGTGTGGGAGAGCCAGAGGAATGGTCAAGGCATGCATGACGGAACTCATCGTGCCACCAACTCGTCGTGTACATTTGGGGTCACTCCAATTGCCAAGCGGTTTTTGGGCACGGCCAGCACTCAGGATTCCAAAGCTGCTGCCCAACTTGCAGGCCCGGTCTGGCGATCTCTTGCCCTCATTGATATCTCCTGCACTTTTGCTGAGCTCTCGAGCTTAGATGGTTGTTTTCTTGTTTCAGTATGTGGACCTGGCAGCTGGCAGACTCTGCAAACATAATGTTTGAAGAGTTGGACGATGTGAATGGCCAAAGCCGGCGAGCCCCGTTTGCAAGAGCCAAGGAGTTGATCAGTTAATTACCTCTGTAGGTCCACGCCATCAATCCTGCGCTGGCGCAGGGCCTTGATCTCACCCTTGATGGGCAGAGGATCCAAGTGCCCAAGAGGTCCAAGGAGGTCAAGGAAGGCGGGCGACGGGTTGCCCATGGCAGGGTGAAGTGTGCCATCAATCCGAGTAGGATCACTTGCATCGGGCTTGGGCATGTGCAGAGCGAGGTGAGATTGGCAAATCGGGCTTTGAAGATAGGATCAGCTTTACAGTTTGAAGCAGAGGCCACTTCACAGCAGTGGTAGCCTCATAGCACTTACTACTTGTGCATTTTGTGCTGAGCGCGCTGAGTGCTCTTACAGAAGCAAGTTGAACACTGCACAGAATGCACGCGCTTGGTTCGGCCCATCGCGCCAAGCCAAGCTCAGAGCCTGCAAGGAGCCTCGGTCAAGTTTGGTTTCCCAAGCCCAGGGACTCACAGCCTTCTGCGACTCAGCGCTCGTCGGGACCAGGCGGGGCCGGGGGCCGGGGGCCGGGGGCCGGGGGCCGGGGGCCGGGGGCAATTGGGTGTTCAAAGCGAGAGACCCCACTCGGTGGTTGGATGTGGTTGGTTCTTTTTCGTGTCGATTGCCGATCCCATCCAAAAAGGGGTTGCCGGGCAATTGGCATTGCAAACCAGACAAAGAGTCAGGCACCGAGTGCATGAGCCTTAAAGCTTTGTTCATGGGAAAGGCTCATGGGCAGGGTGGCCACACTGCCTCGAACAAAACTATGCTTATTTTTCCATGGCACTGAATTGCATGGTGTTGGTGGAGCTAGAGGCAGCAGCAGCGCAGTGGCAAATGGTCAACCCTTATGGACTTTGACAGGGTCGACTCTCAAGAGCTAGATGGCCCGCCTCGCTAATAGCGGGTCGACAGACACATAGATTCATAGATCAACTTAAATCAGCTCAGTAGCCAATAGCTGACTAGCTGACGTGACTTCACACATGCCTACGCTTGGAGAGAACATGCAAATCAGAAAAAGCGCGGAGGCATGCCATGTGCATTGACACCAAACCAGATTGCTGGTTGTGGTTTGTTCATTCTTTTGAGCTCCTCGCCGGCTGCACCTGCAGCAGCAGCGGCAGTAGTACTGCTAGTCAAAACAAGTGACCAGTCGGTGGCTTATTACATAGTAAACTTGTGTTGTCAGATAGTTGCTACCTCAGCTAGGCCAGGTTGGTACTCACGCAGGTTCTGTCAGTCCGGTTGCGCAGCACTTGGCGTGAAGGAGCTGCAGGATTTGGTGGACAAGCGCCGTCTTCAGGAGGGCAAGGCGGACGTGCGCCACGCGCAGGGATCAGGGGGCAGCAATCAGTTGGGAGTTTGGGGAGACACCCCAACGTCAGGCACTCTTCCTGGATGCAGGCTTGCCAAGGCTTTATGTCTATATCACCCTTTGGTATGTGAACCTTTGAGTTTGGAGGCTGAACCGCAGGTTTTGTGATAGCTATGGAAAGTCGAACTTCTTGTGCATGCAAGGTGTGTTGCCTGATGTTTTCTGACATGTGTCCACAATGTTGAAAAGGCCGCCACATTTGTTTGGCACTGGTCAACGAAGGATGTGGGAAGGTGGTCAGAGACTGGATGTTGTTGATTGTACTGTGATTGTTTCACTGCCTAAAGCCGACCTTTTGACCTTTTGGCCAACTGAGCCAGATGCTTTTTCAGCTCGCTGTTTTTGAAGTCCTTAAGGCTTTGCAAGCATGGCCAGGAACAGAAGGAGAAGGAGCGGCAACTGCGAATGAGGCCGGATCTGCTTAGTAGGGCATCCAATCTCGCTCGTCTCTTGAGTCGTCATGGTTTAGGTGATAGAGATGAAATAAAACTAAGTAGACTGGCATCAACATCCCGATGTCAATGCAGACCTGGTTGTTTTAGTTGTTTTCCCAGACCCATGCAGGCCGACACAATGCATTGGGCCTACTTGTGACACACTCCGAAGCCCAAAATGAGCGGTAGGCGCAGTTTGGCCAAGAAGCTGCTGGGTGGCTGGCTTAGCCCTTTTGGGAGTTCATGGGGCTGGATGCCAGGTGGCCAGGCATGGCTCCTTGATTCGTTGCATTTTTTGGGCTGCCGGCTCAAGGGTCAACTCCACAAATCGAGCGGCACGACTTGAGTAGCTAAATGCTTCCCATCCCGCTTTAGGTGACAAGAGCACGTCTTCATTGAAAGATGTCAAGGCTGGAAATGGTATGCCGATGTTTGACTAGTGGACTTGCAGACGTCCGGTTCACGATGTTTGGCATGAGACAACTTGTCATGTGCATATGTGTGTTATTGGGAGGAGCGGTGTTGTGTTTGTCACCGCGACATTTTGATGGCTGTTTCGTTTCTCCAAAGCAGCAGCTAAGAAATGTTGCATACGGCTTTTAGGGAAAAGGGTAGTTGAGGGGTCCTGTGCGGGTTGCTTGCCTGTGCCAAGTTTCTTCATTGCAATCGGGCACACGAGGGCCTATCATCCTCAGGATGTCGCGTGCGCCTGAGTCTCTGAGGGGCCCGGCGCCACCCGTTGAAAGACGTGTACAAGTAGCGAATTCGATGCAGGGCGGCTGATGGATTGTAATTAGGATGATATTGTGTATCTTATACATATATGATATATGTATATTACATCTATATGTGTATTTAGGACAAGCACCTATGTCAAAGGGTTGCCACAGTTTGCCTCCGGGAGCTCACCCCTTTTGCCTTCAAGGGTGCTTCGAGGACAAACAGCCGATCAGAGCCGCGTCACACGCTTTACCCTCGATTCCCGGCTTTTTAAAGCCCGAGCCATATGTTGTCATGGAGTACTGGCGTTGAAATCTGAGGCCGTTCTGTTTGAGTGAAGGAGGGTCCGGCACAGATCGGTGTCCATCCATTGAAAAGTGCCAGTGCCAAAGAACGTCCTCAGAGCGAGGGTGCAGCAGTCAAAATTGTAAAATGTTTCAAGGTGCACAGACACCGTTGGGGCCAGCACCCGGTCAAGGCCTTGCATGAATGACGTACTTTTGAAGATTTCGATTTTGACCGGGGAGCCTTCGCAGGATACGGAACTGGAACCCATCGTGCAGTTTTTGCGCACGCCAGGCATCGCTCGTGCTTGGGCATCAGCAATCTTAGAGAGCAGATTGTCAGATAGTGATAGTTAATGCCACTTTCGCACAAGGCTTGTTGCCATTTTCCACCAAATTGTGCCGTGTACTCCTTATGCCCGCTTTTGTTTGTAGGGTTCAATTTGCTTACATGAGCATCTAGGCCTAGGCAGTTCATCCGTCATCTCTGCATTGCTCGGTAAGCATTCCAGCCGTCACCTAAAATGGATGTCTTCCGATTGAATTCCCTTCAAATACCAGCCATTTCCAAAAGGGGTAAACTTCCATCCCAGCTCGGTCGATGCATTGTCTTTGGACCTTAGGACCGCCTCAAGGGCTATCCGGGATGGTATGCGCAAACGCCGAGAAAAGAGGGCACGGAAGAGGTGGATGGTGCACGAAATAGCTGGCTCTATGATAGTTGGTGTCCCTTTGTTATTTGGCGTGCTGGCCTGCTCAGAGAGAGAGAGAGAGAGAGAGAGAGAGAGAGAGAGAGAGCGAGAGCGAGAGCGAGAGCGAGAGAGCGGCATCCCATAGGGTCACAATGGGTCACATGTTAATCTCAGGTGGGTGTGCTTTGGATCACCACCTCGGCTCTGCCAAGACCTGAGACACTTGTAGCTGAATGTGGCTAAGCATCAGGTATTGTGGGGTTCTCTTTGGCTGTTGGGTCCCGATCAGGTTCAGCACTTACGCCAATGGGCAGTTCTTGCGGCGGCCACTTGGCAAATTTGAGCGCAGCAAGTTCAGCGTGATAGGTATGTTGCTGTGACATGCTGTGACCAGCAATCGAGGACATGTGCTGTAATTCGCTGTGTTGTGCCCTCCTATTTAAGAATCTGAAAAGTTGTCAGTCTCATCTCAGTCAGGCTGCAGCTGCCCCGTGAGGAACCAATTGATATTTGTTGGATATTAGGAGGACACTCTTTCGCTGACGGGGAAATCTTTGCACTTACCTGGGCAACCAGAGCCAAGGTGGCCACGCCTCTATTTGTTCCCGGGAACCTGCCCTTTGTCCAACATTCAGGGAAGTGGATAGGAGGGTGCTGGAAGACTTTCAGCCCCAAGCTTGTAGACTGACATGGGATGAAGCTCAGCCTGCGGCAGGTTTCATGATCCATTTGCGCCCGCCTGGCGTGCTTGCTGCTTGCCATACTAGTTGGACACCGTGACTCCATGTTGACTGATCCTTGGAGTTCGGCTGGATACAAAATGTGGACTCCTTGAGGTTGGTTGCCTTAGGCGTGCTCAGCGGGCCACAAGCAATATGGAATTGGCCTGTCCGAATTGCAACTTTGAAGATTTGAGGCCGACGCACCATGCAGATCTTCCGTCTCAAAAGCCAGAGAAGGGATGCATCACTCTTGTGAAGTTTTGGGTGGTGATTCAAGCCTCGCCTTGAACAAGATGAAGCATCGCTGATCTACGCGTTGAGCCACAAGCAGGTCCCGGGGATCAAATCATTGAAGCAAGTCAGCAAGGTGCGCACAGGCTGAAGCGGCTAAGACCTTCTAATCAAGGGCTGGCTCTAAATCATACTTGAAAGATTCACAGGACCTCGGAAGACATCTACGCCTGTTCAAGTTTTGCAAGCTTGGCTGGTGCAGCTTAGCTGCACGTGCCAGGCACACCTTTGTGCGCTTTGCCCTTTCTAGCCTTCTGGGGCCGTGACCTCAAAGTCGGGGAGTTTGGTTCGTGAGCTCAAACAGCTAGATTTGAACAGACAACAGGCATGCACTGGTGACGCAGCATGGGCCTAGCCTCGGCTTAGCATGTGAAGCAACATCGCATAGAGCGACATGTTGTGACATGTTGTGACTATGGCCATATGCTGGATCGATGTTCGCTGGAAGCTTGTTAGCACTGCAACGAACCCTTGTTTGAACAGCTCGCACTCAGTGTGCGTTGCTGAGATTTGGTGCTGCAGGTTGATGTTTTCTATCACCACCGCCGGACTCTCAGTGATGTTCCTCAACCTGCATGCGCTTGCATGTGGTCTTTGTTTGGTTACAACACTAAACGCAACATAGCGAGATTCCATTTCGAGCATCATGGCACTGTGCCATGTTCCTATTCGGGGGCTGCCAGGCGCAGCCGTTGGGGCCTCGAATGCCTGTGCTTTCACAAAGGCGTGGGAGCTGGTGGCCCTTGCTCATATGGGGTTTGCATTTGTTGGATTTGTTTTTGGAACCCCCCAACAAGAGGGTTCTTTGGGTTTCCCTTGAAAACAACCCTCGGTGCCCTCAAAAGAGACCCATGTTGAGGCCAAGCGCGGCGGGAGCCTAGAGAGTTGGCGGCAGCAAGGGAAACTCACTCGCAGTATATACGATGTGCTGAGAAGAGAGGTGTCAATTCAGGCGGAGGTTGTATTTGTCAGGATGTGCACCACCCAAATCCATGGATCAATGCGTATGTTGAACCTTCCATGCAACCCATGCACAACATCATACTAAATTCGGAAGAGGGTCCTGATATTTGCAACTTTGCTGCAGTATGCAGGTAGTTGAGCTCGTAATCGTATCTCCTTCGTTGAATCCTTCAAAACAGGGCCGCCTTGTCAGCACTTCGCAAGTCTCAGGATTTTGTCACCTGCACCTGTGGGTGCTGGTGTGCACAACTGTGTGCATGGAATGGCGGCTGCCCTGCCACTCAAGCTTTGACCCATGAAGCGCCACAAAGGCCGAGAGACAGTTCGGGCAACGATTTGGCAACACCCAATTGCCTCTCAAGAGCTGCAATCAGAGTGGCAGACTTGTCAAAGACACTTCAGACCAATCACGCCCATTCAACGAACAGTTGGCGCATCGGCATGAGTTTGTATGAGAGGGGCCGCTAGCCGCTGGCAATTTGACAGATCCTGACAGCAAGTTTGTCAAATCGAGTGGGGCGCACATGAGCTCGCCTCTTTGGCGCGGATACCGCTGCTCAACTTTGCTGCTGTGCCGCTTGGCAGGTGGCAAGCAGAACTTACCCTCCCTTAGGACTTACTCTAGACCCTGTGGCAAGGCCGGGCAGGCCAGCATGACGGAAGGGGGCTAGTCAGAAGGCCTCGGTTCCAGCATGTTTCTCGGGGCTGACTTTTGGGCGGACTTGTTTTAAGGAAAAGCGTACATGAAACAAACACATCAAGCTCTTAGCGTGGCTATCGCCGAGCCACTCCTCGATTTGTTCAAGCGTTGGATTGCCAGCTGGTGTGCTTGTGTGTGTGTGGAGCGTCAGAATTGTATACCCTGACGCCAACTAGGGGCGTGCAGCACCTTTGGCATACTGCACGCAACGAAGCTATTGCCAAAGGTGGGAAGGGTGTCCAGACGTGGGCACCTGTACCTGCATCGTGATGTTGCTGAAAGTCCTGTTGGTCCCCCTTCTTGGGCCGCTGTGTGTGCGTGCTTCATGTTAAATCTGGTAACGTTTCCGAGTCCAGAGGGAAGCCATCGGTCTCGCCACTCGAAACTTACCCACTCGAAACTCACCCAGCCGAACTCACACCAGCACCCTCCCTTAAGAGTCTAACTGTGTGTTTCTTTTTTTGCGGGCATGACTCGTGCGGCAGGCTTCCAACAAGCTTTCCGACACTTAGGAGTGGCACAAGCCCTTCTTTGCCATGGAGGGTTACTCGCGGCGGGCGCAAATGGGAGATGGCAAGAGCAACGCCTCTTGACAGATGTTGGCACGTGAGAGTTCTAGGTGGGTTGCTCACTGCTCACCATCTCACAGAGCGCTTGTTGCGTTGTCATTCCCAAACCTCTGTTGTCATTTCTCCAGGCAACGTGACTGATGTTATAGGAGACGCTCAGCACGGAGAGCTAGCTGCCCCATAGCGATGGCCTGCCCAAAGCTATGGGCGACCAGAAAAGAGCTTGGGGGAACCATGGTGCCAGTGGCCACAAAGGCTTACATCAAGCGCAAACATTTTGTTCGGTGACCAGTCATGGTGCTCCACATTTGAAGCACGCCCTCTCGTGTACCTTTCAACCATGCCTTGGGGAGAGACACATGTTGCTTTCGCCTGAATGGCTTCGATTGCTTGCCGAATACATCCGATTGACAGTGATTCAGTGCGGCCCATCACCACGCACGCGGGGAAAGCCAGGACTGCACCTACGCCATGCACGCAGCGCCTTCGTTTTGGGAGGCGATATTCTGGGCCTCCAGTAGCATGGCTATGGCTCCTATGAAGCTGCGGTGATATCACGGGCTTGAACAACTACAAAGCTGTCAAGGAAACCAAACACCTCCCCAGGATACAACGTGGTTGGGTCATTCAAAACGGCTCAACACGATGCCAACAGGATGATATGTGTTCGACCGTAGTGAGACCAAGATGCCCAAAGGCGCGGGGGGATTACTGGCAATTTGTGGCGCTCTCAACCTCACCACTGACCTTTCCCAGAAGCACAGGTCGGTCGTATGCCGAGGACAGGCGGAGACTCCTCACCGACCGCAATGCGTACATCGCGGCTTGGTTGCAAACATTTTCTCAGATGCTGTGGGCAGAACATTTCACGTTGAATTTTGGAGCTTGAAGCTGTGAGGGCCAATGATGACCAATGAGTTCTTTACGTGTGTTTGAAAGTCGGGCGAGATCCAGATGCAACCGCCCAACCCGTGATGGCATTCACCCCCTTGAATTTGGCGGAGTCGGGTTGCCCCTGCCCCCTTCCACTTGGATTGCGCAATGGTTAGCCTAGGCATACCTGGAGGGCCACGTGGTGCCTGGGCCGGAAAGGCTGTCTCATTTGCAGGCTGCACACGAAATCCAGCGCACGTATCGGTGCGCGATTGGTAAGACATAGTTCCTGTCCAATGCAAGTCCGCCTCGCAACAGTTTTGCACCTTCCTTTCCCAAATTCCCTGCACTGGTTGTAAAACGTGACAAAGCTCATCCCATCGGGGATGAAGCTGCAAAGAACAATTCCAGATGCCGTTTGCCTGCCTTCCGGATCAAACGTATACGCGCGCAGCGTGCAGGATCAGCACAATCTAGTATCACATGGTGCGATCATTTGCTTTCGGGAAGGCGACGAACACCATGTAGAGCTCATTTGTTCGACCGGTGCTTTGCTACCCTCAGCTGCTAGGCCTCCCATACAACTTCCTGAAGCCCAGACTGTGTGGCATATATACATACACATAATATATATATATATATATATATATACACGCGACGTGCTTGCGCGCCCAGCCGAAGGCGGTACTTGAAAAGGCTCATGCTGATGCTTTTGGTTGGTTCACCAGGGGTCGCCCCGCGCAGCCTGAAAGCCTGCGTCGCATGAGGAGCGCTTCAACAGCGCGCTGCTAGAAGTGGAGGCAGCGGCCACAGAGCTGCGGCTGCTGCACGCGCGTGTGGACGACCTGGAGGACTGAGTGATGTTGTGCTATCAGCGAGGCTGCCCAGCTGGTTTAGTTTGAAAGCAGGAAGTTTGCTTCGGCTTGAGTGAAAACTGTGGTGTTTCTAGTTGCTTGCTTGATTTGGCTGTGTGATGTTTTTTTTTCTTGTCAGGCCAGTTGGAGAGAAGCTGAAATCGGCGAATATTATCGTCGCAATGCTCGACCTGGGTGTTGGAGCTGTAGGGCGGGCTTTTGGCGGCCGGAGACCGTCCGGTAATTACACATCCCTTGGTTGTTCTGTGTTAAGGACCTTGGAATGGATTCGAAGTTTCAGTGCTTTATTTAGGTTCCATGGTGGGGGCCAGCTTGCAACAGGTAGGCATCATGTTCAACGCAGTAAGCCGAGAAGCCGGGAGAGGGTTAGCAGGAAATCCCTGAACGCCACTATACAATCAGCAGGGGTCACCAGCCGGCGACATTTTGCTTGGACCCAGGAGCGACTTCAAAGCTCGCACCAGACCATAGAGGCGGTGCAGGCACAGTGAGGAACAAAGTGAAGCCATGCACTTTTTACTTATTCTGTTCTTGCTCTTCTTTTTTTTTTGTTTGGGAGGGGGACTGCCGAAAGGAGGTTTCATTGACTTTGGTTGATTTCCTTCATTGCCACGAACCAAGTGGTGTCCACTTCAAAGGGACCCATGGTTTCAAGCACATCAAGAGGCCAGATTCATCCCCTTACCGCCAGCCCTCAACCAGCCATACTTCTAAATGGGCAGCCCCTGGACAACACGAAGCACCTCAGCTAGGAGTCCATTTCTTTTCCAGCACAGGTGGCAGTCCAGGGTCCCAAAGGGCGGCTCTCAAAGTGGCACTGTTGCCTCGGTGCGTTCGTTGGTTTATGCACGTCATTTTCTTGGGCGGACCCAATTGCAAGCAAGGTTCAAGCATGCGCGCTGGGCCTTAGCCCGGCCAACCTGGTTAATGGTCGAGTAGAAGACACAAATCCACCTGCATTTCCCCCCGAGAGTTTTAACGTTTAGAGAATGCCGATAACTTGGAACTAGGTTGCCCTGCAAAGCTGACGCAGGCCCAACGTGTCCAGCACAACGAGGCAATGGTGTGGGCGTGCGTCTCCGGAACTGGGGCGTGTATACGTGCATGAGGGATGACATAAATGGGGGGACAACCTGTCAGAGTCACGAACCTCGGCGCGGCAGCCTGCTCAAGTTGAGTTGAACTTGGAAGATTCTGGGCGGACAGCATGTTGGTAGAGTATTGTCATTATCCTGGAAAGGGGCGCTATGGGCGCTGATGCTTCCTGAATTCAATCAAGGCAGCATACTGGCTCCCGGCAAAATGTAAACTGAGGGGCTTTGTGATCATTGAGAGTTCTGGGAGGTGCGCGCTTTCAACACTCCGGCAGGTCTCGCAGACAGACAGGCAAGACACCTTAGAACAGATCCATCGTGCCTTGGCTGCAGGTGTTGTTGGAAATTGTGTTGAGCACGTCTTCGGGAGGTCCGACGTGTTCACGGCGATACTTGTCCGAAAGGATATGCGCTGTGCTGAATTCATCGCAGTGTTTGGTGAATTTGTTTTAATCTCATGTTGCAGTGTTGCCGCGACCGGAGCAGTCAGGGGAATAGGGGATGTCCGGCGCAGTCAAATCGACCCTGGATCCTTCAACTTAGAACGCAGCCCTGTTTGCATCAGATTGACTCAAGCCATCGATTTCCAAGGAACCCTCACTGAGTCAAGTTGAATTTTGGCTCTGAATTTTGGTTTTTTTGGCCACCTAAGTGGCTGGTGGAACCTCCACAAAGTCCACAGAGTCCAACATCTTGGGCCTTTTGCCCGGCGGCTGATTTGAGGCTTGGAAGCCAGGAACCTGCGCCTGGAGCAGGCCATGGCTGAGGGTCGAAGTGTGGCAGAGGCGGCGCCACGGCGTCAAAGCCAAATGGCTGTGGGTCTCTCTCTCGGGCCATGAGGGACCCCCCCAAAAGAGCAAAAGGCTTTGCTTCTGCGTCCGGCTTCCCTGTAAGAAGCAAACCCATTTTGGGGTCCCGTTTGAATCCTCAAAAGGCAGGCCGACGTGGCCAGAGGAAGCTGCAGAGTCGCCGGGAATCCCCGAAATGGGTGTGTCTCTTTTGAGGGTACCCCTTTTAGCGTCCTAAAAGACAAACCAAAAGGACAACCCCATTTGTGGGACCCAAAATAAGACGCCCAAGTAGCGCTTTTCCTGGGCAACCGATTCAGCGAGGCATGATAAAAAAAAGTGTAGCAGGCCGAGAATCCTCAGATGTCGGGTGCCAAGGTGTTCCCAAGTCCGACTTCTGCAAAGCATTGCCCGGCGTTTAACAAGGCAGGCACGTGTCCAGATGTTGTGATTATGTAGAATTTGCTCATGCCGGTCACCTCTTCCCGGCTTCAGTTGATTCGAGTGATGAAAAAATGCTCACGAGCTCGCTTTTGGAGGCAGCTGCCTCGTGTGTTGAATTTAGTTTTCGGACTCCTGATATCGGGTTAGTGCAAGCCTGAGCTTAGCTGAAGTCTGGTTACAGAATAAGGACGGCATTTTCACCCCTTGTGCATTCTCAAGATGTTGTTGGGTATGAGTTTGAGTGCGTGGCTGCTCCGAGCTAAGTGCGTTTGTAGCTCCTCAACTTGCTGGTCTGACAACTAGATGACTCAGATCTAAGGCGGTTTCTTGGCGGTTAGAGGGCGTCCGTGCTTTTTCGAGTGGCATTCCCAGTGAAGGGCAAAAGACAATCTCACCCACAGATAACCAGATCTGCCACTGGCAGTGCAACGTATTCACTATCATGACCAGGCGGAGGGCATGTGATTTGGAGGTTTGCCAAGCAGCCGCATCCAAGTTGTTGGCTTGACATCCGTTGATGCAAATGTTGGTAGCCTGCACCCAAGGACATGGCAAGGATGAGGAACGAGCTGTCACTGGCTGCCGCATGGCGAGACAGAAGCGCTGTTGCGATGCACTTGCCGTGTTGGGAGCGTGATGTTCATGGCGTATTACAGCAGGAATAGACACTGGGAATGTTGTGGAGGTCCTAGGCCTAGGCGGTGTTGCGCATGAAGCTGCTAGTTGCAATGTTCAACGCCCAGGCTAGCCCTTCAAGAGTTTGCAGGTCTCCACAGATGTTGCATCATATGTTCAAGACCAACCACATTTGTGACGGCTCTGGAAATGGCACTGAAACAACATGCCATGGATGGGCCGAGCTCACCCCCAGCCCCAGAAGTTGCATTTGGGGCACAAGAAGTCGACGTTTCATACGGAGCTCCCAGGTTCAAGAGCTTGGCCAACGCATAGACGAGCGCCTCCGCCTGGTGAAGGACCGATTTGACGAGCGCATGCAAAGCTTCCAGGACCGAAGCTGGGAGTTGGGGCCACGGAACGCCGTGGCTTTTGCATCCCTTGGGATGTACATGTGGAGCATGATGCTCTGCTTGTTCCTTTGTTCGGGAAGGCGGCAACATGAGGTCCGTGCCAACGATGTATTTTGTAAGTTTCTCCGCATGGCTTTTGTTTCAATGCCTTCAGAATGCCCAGCGGCTTCCACTGGGCTTCCACGCCTTATGTAACCTCATTGATGCCAACTCAGAGGCTGAAGTCTTTTAAAAACCCGAACCGTTTTGTTTGGTTGCAAAATTCCGCGGCCTGTGGCGGACGAGTTGGGGACTGGAGGACCTGTCCAACGACGAGGCCGCGCTGGTAATCCGCGAGGCTCAGGCCACCTGCGTTCGCCTGGCGGACGATGCCTTGGGCGCGGCGGAAGAATCGCAGCAGCTCGGGAAGCGGGGCAGTTGGGTGTGTCGCTTTGAGGGTACCTTGTAGAAGCCAAAAGGAAGCCAGCCACTCATGTTTGATAGAAACTACCCACCATTTGCAGGATTTTGCCCATCCACAGTATGACTATTCCCATTCTCACTTTCAAGGGGTTTCACTTGTCCCAAGTGGCAACCTAAACCTCTGGATTTTGTCCATCCTCATATTGTGGGTGGACGAAATCCTGCACCACCTAAGAAACCCTGGAAGGATGATTCCCCCATAAGTACCCACAAATACTGGTTTCGATGGTAAAGTGGTGCAGGATTTTGTCCATGCTCATCGGGTCTTTCTATGGGACGGCCCCAGGAAGAAGGTGGAGGAGGTGGCGCAGCGCACCTCCTCGGCCCAGCGTCGCCTTGAGGACGTGGTGCAGCAAACTGAGGCGACGCCTTCGCGCGGACGCATCGCTTCGAGTGGCTCAAGGGTGGTGACTGACTGAGTCCTTTGACCTTTTGGTTTTCCGATTCTCCATATATATATATATATATTGTCAAGGTCACAAAAGGTTAGCCTTTCATTTCCAGGTGCTTTGACCAAGCGAGGGGCCGGGCGAAAAGCCACCTGTGGCGCTGGTTTGTTTTCGTAGGAAAGCGGAAAAGCAAGCTGTGCCCCATGTGGACCATGAGTTTTTGCGAGTTTTCATAATTGGTACATGGGCTCTCGAAGTTGGTAATTGATTTGACTTGCAGGCGGGGGAAGCAGAACTGAACAAAGCAGCGCACTTGTTTTTCAACGTGTGCTTGGTCAGCAATACTACTGCAGTTTCCCTTAGCTCGTGAATTTCCCTCAACTCGTGACGATTTGAACCCAAAGACTATTCAATGGATCCTGATTTGGCCTGGGAATGGCCGGTGATCCTGCAGCCCGTTCTGTTGTGTCGATGTACTTGTGGGACAGGTTGGATGCAAATGTCCCGGGAATGCGTCGACTCTGTACACAATATTTCACATGTTAGGCTATCATGTGCTCATGTGCCTTGTAGACACGTGGGCATAATATATGTCAAGCAAGCGGCCTAAAAGTGGCTGGTTGTCCTTTGACGTTCTCAAGCAAAGCTGAAAAGGGTACAGAAACACACTCCGTGTTTGCTCTGTGTGCGTGCGAGCGCGTGCGCGCCGTGAGGCGGGCCTCGAGGCGCTTCGCGCCGAGCTGGTTGCCATCAGGGCGGAGATCGCCGGCCACGCCGTGGGAGGTGCACAGACGGATGGGTTGTGACCATGGCTGAAGTGGATTCCTACAATTGGCAACCCGGTGGTGTTCAAGGGAAACCAGACGGGCACCAAAATACACTAAGCATTTGGGCAGAAGCACTCAAAAGGGACAAGGCTGAGCTCCTTCTTTGGAAACGAAGGGGGGGAGCCAAACAGAGTTGTGCTGGAGCACGCAGCCACCTCAGGTCAGCTCAGGGAAAGCAACAACTGATGTGTATTTGGTGTGACGAGGGCGTGCTGTCAAAGGCAAATGGTGATACTTCATCCCTGCTGGGCTGAACTTGAGCATCCGGTAAGAGATGCAGATGGAAGGAACAAGGGAAAGAAACTTGCAATGTTCAACTGCTTGGGGCCAACCATTGAGAGCAAGCTGACAGTTGATTAGCAGCAAATTGGGCCTCCGGAGCAGTCCACATGGAGCTTGTGAGTTCGCTTGCTGTGGCCCGGCACATTTTTCCTGGCTCACGGCCAGGGGAACTTGACAAGGATCCGAACTCGCAGGCCAGGGCTGCACTGAACCAAGGCGTTTATCTGTGCCCTGGAAATAGCAAGGCCGTAACCTCAGAGGCCCGCCATGTGCTGTCTGTCACTCCATAAGTCACTTAGGTCAGCCAAGCAAAGTGCCCTACTCCATGATAAGTTGCGTGAATGAATGCACTGGCAATGAACAAGATCGCCTTCCATATTCCTTTCCCGAACTGCAGCGCAGCCGTCAAGCCACACCATGATCTCGATTTGGGATATCAGGGTGTACCGGAATGTCTGCAAGCCACAAGTTGACGTCGCGGTAGGGGTTGTGCTTTCCGTCTCCTTTCAAGGGCTAGCTGGCTAGCTGTCCAATAGGACCTCGCAGACGTGGTGGAACGGCGTTTGGCAGCCCGCCTCGGGTAGCCTGGCAATCAGCACGTATCACGCAGGGGTTGGAGAACAAGCCTTAGTTGGGAACAGTTGGGGGACAACATGTTCAAGTTGTTGGCGTGGTTCTGGCGGCCGTGACCCCCCGTAAACGGAACCACCCCAAACCCTAAACCGACCCACGCTACCAATTTTGATTTCCTTGCATCCTTTTGCAAGCATCCGTTGCCATGTTTGTGGACGACCCCTTGTGGGGTGTCCTTCGGATTCCCTGGGTCGGACACTACATTGTGACGCCAGGCTTATGTGTAGGGGAATCCCACAGAATGAGGACTTACTACCAAGAGTGAGCATCTAAGCAAGGCTCGGGCCTATTTGTTTGTGATGCGATCAACTTAGTCAACCGGAGATATGTTCTGACATATCTCAGAACTCGGTACTTCTGGGTGGTCATCCAACTGACTGTCATGCGAGTTGAGGCAGCAGGTGCTGCAGCTCAGCGAGGTGCTGCAGCGCGTGGTCTCAGCCCAGGCAGCCCTCAGCCAGCAGCTGGGAGGCTCGGGGGTCAAAAAATTCGTTCAATTCTGAAAAGCCAGCTTTAGCTGTTTCACACGACGCTTTCCATGGTGAATCTATTTGTTGCTCCCCAAGGGGCCTTTTTGAATTAAGGGATCACCCACGGGAACTCCAAAGCAAACCCTTTTCTGGTTTCGACGCATCAGCCGGACCTTGTGTCACAAAGCCATGCCGCTGGGCCATGCCGTGATATCGTCCGGTGTTAAAAAGGTTTGATTCAAGTTGGTTTTTTGTTTGCTAGCTCCGGTGGAAACTGATTGAACATTGCTTCATTGGCACCCTTTTGCAGGAATCAATTGTGCGCCTTATTTTTCAGGGCATTGTTTGAAGTACATGCCTGCTAGCAGGCGTGAAAAACTTGGCAAGGGCCCCTGGGCAAGGAACGGGACGAGTGTCCCAGGTGGCATTCCCTTTGTGCTGGATTTTTGCCACGTTATTTCGCACTGGCTCCAAGGTACTTTCGAGTCTTTTTGACCGGGGTGGTCGACCGGTTGTCCCAAGAGTTTGCCAGGTACCTGTTACAAAGTTTGTGCCCCTTCGCCTGCAGTTGGAATTCCTTCCTAAGCCTTGGCTGCATCCCTACACCACAATTGCTATACGCGGCTGTGCCTTGAAGCCTGGCGAAATGTCCAAAATCCCGCTCTCAGGTGTGGTTCTTTCAACCTGAGGAACCGATTGCCAACCCAAGAGTTCAACAGGCGAGACGTTTATCCATGTGTGGACCGCTGGCAGGCAAAAAGGGCCGCAACGCCAGATCTGCAGATGGTGTCCTAGACGCAGGATGGGCGTCACACGACACGCATGCGCCTATGAATGTGCACACGGGGGTTGCAGTGCAGCACACTACATTGCCGCAGATGTGTTTGTGTGTGTGTGCGCGTTTCAATGGAAAACAAACAGAGAATGAATGGAAAAGAAAGGGACAATAGTCAGGGTAGCACCACGCAAACAATAGCCATCACATGCAATGTATTGACAGCTTGACATGTGCTTGGATGGGGAGTTTGCAAAGCTGTTGTTGGCCACAAAGGGGGCAGATCCTCCAAATCAATAAAACTAACACAGCCCATCAGTAGTTGCAATGATCCTTGCCTGGATTCATGCCTTCACTAGTCGTGACTCAATGCCAGCATGGTGCCACTGTGAATTGCCCTGAAGAAGAAGAAGCGTCTCAGTGCAGGACTAGCAGCGACTAGCTTCCACAAGAAGCATACTTGAGGTTTGCAAGGAAAGGCTTGTCCCTGGTTCAGGCTTAAGAACGACAAGCCTGTCGCCGGCTGGTTGGCAGCAAGCGTCGTGCTTTGCATCGTCAGTCCTTGTAAGTCACCCATTTTGCCAGGATTGACTCTCGTGGCCAAGCTTGGTGTATATTTTACAGAGCATTGGCATGCAGTGCGGGCAGGTTCTGTACCACATGTGCTTTGATGCATGATTGAACTGCATGATTCAACATGCCCACACGCATAGTGTACGTATCATCAAACATTGCTGAATGCACCAACATTGTTGCACACACGGCACGGGAACTTATAGTTATAGTTGCTGGCACGCTTGGTCATGTGTGTGAAATGAGTGTGTGAGAATGTGCATATTCAGCGAACTCAAACACGTATCCAGCATGCGTGCCGACGAACATGGTGTCGCAACAAGTTCTACTCTTATGCCACAAGTCTTTTTTCGAGTGACGCGGGTTTGGCGACAGACGTGGCTATTAACACTGCATGCGGTCCAGTGCAGTTTGTGAGGACCGAAACGAGTTTAAGCAGATCCTGCTTTCTGGGCAGCGTGAGCAAGATATTGTTTTATATTGATTGATGGTGTGGAATGGTTGTTTGGGGATTTGAACCCTTGGTTCCTGTTGATGGCAAAGCGACCCCTAACCTCCAAACCAACAGTCCGAATCACCGAGTAGAGGGAAGCAGAATCCAGTTGCGAAGTGGACAAAAGCCATGGCTTGTCCGAGTCAGTGCGAGGTCGCAACTTCCCCGCGTCGCAGCGATTTACGGAGGCGCTTGGCTTTGGATGAGCTCCTCAGCTATGAGGAAGGGGGGCTTACTTGAGCGCCCAAACCTCCCAATGCTCCCAAAATGCTAAGTTTTGGGTGGTTCGGCTACCTGGCTTAAAAAGGTTAGAGTAAAGCACATACAGTTTGCTTAACCATCGCAGAGCCCAAAGTCAACAGGTTTTGGGCGCTGTTGCTGCGGTTGATGGTCGTTCGTGGTATGTAGAGAGAACACTTGGTGGGTTTACGATGTTTATCCACAGCCAGTGCATATATGGGTCCCAAGTATTTGTTCATAGATTTATGGATATAAAAGCCAGGTGGCTGGCACTTGAACAGCCTAGAAACCCCGAACCGTAAACCTCCAAATCCCTTAGACTAAACATCCGAAGCCCTAACACCCTCAGCTCCGAAATCGGAAAGCCTTTGCACCGAAGCTGCATTCCCAGCAGCCAAAGCAAGGCCGCTGGATGACGCCAACCCATGCATAGCATGTTGAGCGGAACTTGTGTACTTATCAGGCGGTCGATGTGACTTGTGGCACAATAGTTTAGCGGTTTGTATGTTGTTGTTCTCTACATACCCCTTGGCTTTCCTGGTTACCAACCCACTTTACAAGGAATATACGCCCCTTTTGGGGGAGAGGGATGAACATCAGCAAGCCTGTCCAGGGCTGTGGGAAATGACCACTTCTGTGATCAACACAAGGGCTTCCCAAAGAATACCCCCCCCATACGAAGGGGCAGATGCCCTTGCATCACAGAAGTAGGGATAAACCCCTTGATCCCACAACCCTGAGCCTGTCGTGGTCATTTAATCAGGTCATTTTATCAAGGGGTATGTAAAAGGGGTATGTACCAACACCCCTAGATCTTCAGCGCACGTTGCAGTTCCGAAACTTCAAACGAGGCTTTATCGCGAGTTGCGGCAGCTGGAAGCTAGCACACGGCGGCCCCGCTTCTGAGCACCTAAATTCGCAAAGATTTGCACGGGGGCGATGCCTGGGCAGCCAGTAGGATGTTTCTCCACAGGATCTTCCAATCAGAGGTGGGCATGTCACATTTTCCTGCAGAACCGTTTGGAATGTTCGAAATTGCTCGAACGCGCAGGGTCGGAATATGGCAGTGTCCTGATGTAAGACTTGAGATCGCTATTGCATTGTGATTTTAAGAGGTGAGTACTTGTGGCATTCAAATCAGCAGCATGTGTCATCCTGACTGGGACGCTTTGGCCGATGGCTGACTTTCAGCGCATGAAACATCCCAATGATCGTTCCTTGTTCAGACCATCAATCAGGGTCAGTCATGAGCACTCAATTAATTTCCATCCTCACCATTCCTCACCCTGGTCAAAGAGCAGCAGGCCTATATACTAGTGCTGAGCTTGGTGGCTGTTTCCAGGACGCGGGAGTTCATTGTCAGCGGCAGCCTGGGAAGACCTCCCTTGGCATATTCTGCCTAGGGTCAGGATGTGGACGCTGGTAATGCAAAAAGAAGCGCAGATCTCTCACCCTCGTGGCTGCGGTCTTTTTGTTTGAGCCACGTGCCTAAGCAGATGACGGAGGATGGCAAGCCAGATTCAAGATTGATATTCGGTTCCCCGGAGCTGTGCATGTCGCATGTTTACACACGCAAGAATTGTTTGCATGTGGGACGTGCAAGGGCCTTCCATGGCGCAGGCTGATGGTGCCCTCGGTGCTGCTGTTGGTGGCCAACCTGTTGAATTCCATGAGCATGCTCCCGGGCAGCACGAGACCAATCATCCCGAGGTGTTCCCAAGGCTTAGTCCAATAGAACATAGCTGTCCTGCAAGCTTCAGACTCTCCAGCGAAGGCGACCTACAGCCCAGGTCAGTTCACAAAGAAAGGAGCAGCATACCGGTTCTTGTTGCTTCGTGCGCTGACAGCCATAGCCTGGGCAGGGCATATAAATCCACTTTCTGCGTTACAGGATGCCAATGGGCATGTAACCATCCCAGGCTTTGCTCTGGCGTGACGCTCACCTACGTGCCAAGCTGAGCCTGTCAGGTGGGAGAGGGAAGGGCCAATACCTTACCTTTGCCCATGACGTTTGGGGGAGGTGCTGAGAGAAGCGCTGTGCTCAGGTTGTCAAGAGCTTGATCCCCTTCTTCACTGTGCCATGGCCAAGGATGAGGTTGGGGTGGCTGGACAGGGGTGGTCCGCGAGATGAATTGAGACGCTTTGTTGCGTGGCAAGGATAGCAATAGCTGAGAAGTGATCAGCAATTGCTAAACTTGCATTCCACAACATCCCGGTGCTTCTTTTAGAGCATTATGCATATCTGGCTTTTGAATGGCACGACATGGGGTGATGTCAACAACATGCGAGTTGTAGTGCTGATGCTGGCATTGTGCGAAGCTGTTGCGGGTTTAGGGTGTGGAGCAGGTGGTTTCGTGTAACCGTTTGGCAAACGAAACGGGCTTAAACATAGATGCCTGGCCCCGTGAAGTGAATTAGGGGTAGCAGTCGGATAGTAGGAAGGCAAGCCAAGCGTGTCCTGAGGTCATTTCTTGCCGACTGCGCAGCGGCCTGATCTTGCAAGACTAGGGCACAACTTTCTCGGCAGGGCTGCAAGGGATAGATACTCTTTCAGTCGTGTTATCCGTTGCCTGGATCACGGCCCATCCTGGCGTGCATGCTGTGCGTGCGACACTGGAGAGCTCTTGCTACAGCAGAAATCAGATGCCCACCGGTCCAAGGTTTCACACCCATGCTTGCACCAGCCCACGGCACGATGTTTCATCCATGTGGGTTTTAACCCCTCGGTTCATAGGAGAAGTTTGCGATGCGTGCCGGTTTCCTCAAAGCGGGCTGACAGGTGGGCAGCGCTTCGAGACCTCGATCTACCTTTCATTAGTGTCATGCCCTCAGTTTGGTTTCATGCATTGCCATGGCGGATCAATCACGGTCCGTTGAGTTTGGTTGAGTTTCCTGCGGAGCTGGAGGGGTTTGCCACAAGAAGTGTACCTGTACAACCCTTGATCTTGCTCAAATCGGTTACGGCCGAGGCCTGTGTGCCTCGGCGTGTCCCTTGCTAGTGCGACGGACGTCGAGTGCAGCTTGCCGGGTGCCCCAGACTTTGGCCCAAATCGCAAGCTCGGGGCTGCGCAGATCAGCGAAAGGGTGCCCTATGGGTCTCTGCTTTTTTGAGGGTAATGTCCCTTTTTGGAACGATTGACCAGGGAAAACGAAGGGGAAACCATCGTTTTGAGGGTTTCCCTATTTCGACACATACCCATGCGTTGCCTTGTGGACCCTGAGAGGCCACTTTGCCAATTGGCCAACGGATTGCAACAGCTACACGCATTGGGCGAATCTCTGCACCGGGCTGAGGGAGGGCATCCTGTGCGCGCCGGGGCAGCCCAGAAGTGCCACGTGTGCAATGGAAAGTGGTTTGTACATCCGACCTAATTTTTGAGTTGCGCACATGTAACCTGAAATGACACCTTTCAGGCGCGGTGTTTCATTGTTTTATTATTCGCGCCGCATTGCAAAGTTCCAGCATGCCATCAGGCACTGATACATCCGAGAAACACACAACAATCACCGGAGAGGACGCAACGGGATACATCCATTGGGATGAAGCTTTGGCTGGTCTCATGGAGTCCTATCCAGTGCTCGACTAGGCTTGGTTCTTCTTTGGCGCAAACATGGCTGAACATCACCTCCAAGGAGACTGGGAAGGTTTGGACAGATTGCAAGCTGTTGATACAAGAAATGCGGCAGCAATTTAGAGTCCTAAATTATACATACTGTTTCCAACAGAGAAGCTTGGCTGTTGGAGTTGTGTCAACCTTTGGCCAAGTTGGTCTTGCCACAGAAGACTTCGGAGGCACTGTGTGGTAGCCTGTGGTGCGTCGCTTGCAAATGAGCGGCCCTCCAAAGGCATGAATCAGTGGAGTGGTGTTGCCGTACTACTGGCAGATGAGGGCGTAGTCTGCTATGGAGCCTTTGCTCCGGAACAGCAAGCCCTATAGGAGCCACATGCCGCTTGCGCGCATAACATGCAGGAGAAGATTCAGACTCTGAAGCTCTCCGGTATGGAGGCCTTGATGATTTGTTCAATAAGGTGGCTCTCAACTTTTTGGCAACCTGTTTTGGGAATTTGAATCCCTGGTATTTGTGAAGGGAAATTGGAAGACCACCCCCTGACGTCCAAGCCACCAATGAGTGGAAAGGTGACACAAATCCATTTCCGCTTTGTTTCTTGCAGGCCTTTACTGTTATGGCCACGGTGTGCGCCGGCCTTTCAATACCGCTTCTGGCGGTGTCCTATGCCAAGGACTGCACGAGATCCAGGGAGAGAGATGCCAGCATGGCCCTTTACGCAGACAATAGGTAATGCAAAGGAAGATATTGCACAGCAAGGGGAAAATATTTGGAGGTAATTACGTGAGGAGATGACGAGCAGCATGACGGCGTGAGCATGCAAGCTCATTTTTGCAGGACAAAGGCGATGGCATTGTGACAGCTTGCTTGAGTTTATCTCAAAAGCCCTGCTACACGAGCTTCAAGGCCATCGAAGTTGCGTAGCTGTCGCATTCACGGGGATAAGACCCGGTCAGACCTACCAGTGGGTGCCATTGGCCCGGAGTGGTAATGCTTGCCTTGGTCGTTTCTGGCTTTTGAAGCTGTTTCTTCCCCCATTGCTTGTATGTGCGTTCCAGCAATTGTGTGTGTATATGTGTGTGTGCTTGCGTGTGCGGGTTCGTGTGAGTTTGTCAGTGTGCGTGTGTTAGTTCTGTTAGTCCTGTTGGTGTGCTGCATGCGGCCGGCGTGCGTGCGTGCGTGAGTATGTGTGTGTGTGGGTGCGTGTTCTGTGTGCGCGTTTGGGTGCAGGCGTGCAGACGGGTATGCGGGCGGGCGTGCTTGTGTGTGTGTGTGTGTGTGCGTGCGTGTTCGGTTGCTGGGTTGGTGGGTGGGTGGTTGGATGCGTGCGTGCCTTCATGCCAGCATGTGCGCATTTGTGTGTGTGTGTGTGTGTGCGTGTGGGTGGGGTGGGTGGCTGGGGCGTTCATGCGTGCGTGCGTGCATGTGTGTTTGAGTCAATTATCACGATGACATTTATGGCCCAGAGGTTTCATGAGTCAGATAACTTGCAACATGTTGCTGTACAATCAATTCAATGCCCAAGCATGACATGATCACATGTCGCTTTGGCTCAAGTGCTGAAAAGAGCGCGTTGCTCGCGCTTCCCACAAGGTTAAGGGAGAGGTCGCAGTCACGGAGGGGTTCGTTCCTTTTAAGGCCCCGGGTTCCCCCGTTGTTGACAAAACTGTGTTTCCCTCTCCTTTGAGTGGTTATCAGCCGTAACGCTTTTCGGGTAAACAAACCCCTCCGTGACTGCGACCGTTTGGTCGCACATGGAAGCCGGCCCTCACCGCGGCACTCGCGGTGGGAAAGGGCCGCGTGCCCGTCTATTCAACACTCTGCAACAGATCGTCGTTGACGAGTACAAACGGCAGAACAGACGATTCCGGTGGGTCAGGTTTGCAGACGCCTCGAAGCAACAGATCGAGGCGCTCTTTTCCTGGCGTGAGTCATTGGATAGTTGGCACCTGTGGGATTTTGACCAAGAGGCCTTCGAAGTGATCCAGGCCGCGGACAACGCTTATCAGCAGCGTCTCGCATCGGTTGAAACCACAGGTGTGGTCTTGCCGCAAGGTGTGCAATCTCAGGATAAAGCCGCAGCCTCTGGCGCGGCGGAAGCAGCGAGCAGTGCAGCGGACTGGCTACGCCCTCCGACGCCTCCTTCAGCTTCATCCTGGCTACAAGATTCGCGCACTCCATTGCCTCGCATCCGACCATCAGCAGAGGAAAGACAAGTGTTGCGGGGCGCCGCCAAGACAGCGCTTCGCGGGGTGTACGCTAGAGCTGCGGAAACGCGGCGGGAGAGCAGCAGGGAACGGTCAACACAAAGATCGAGGTCCCCATCGCCCCGAAGGCCGAGGTCTCCATCGCCTCCGAGACGAGGACCGACTGCTGCTACCCCTGTGGAACATCGGGCACACAGTGTTGAACCCGCGCTTGCGCGGGAGGGCAGGCCATCCAGGACTTCCCTTGCCACACGGCCCATTGTATTGGCTCCACAGAACAGTATATACCCTGTGACACGATTTGACGAGCACGGCACTTGGGTACTCGTTCGGGAGGCTTCACAGCCACGTGAGGCGACATCTCACCGCCGAGCACAGCGGACATCCGGACATCTCCGTCAGGCTGACCCGTATTCGCTTGCGGACGAGACGTGGAGAGATCCCCCAAGAAGATCATCCACAAGCTCGCGATCGCGATCTCCAGATCGACGCCCAGGGCCAGCGGAGCGCTATCGCCTCGACGCCTACAGCTCGGAAGAGGAACCTCCGCAGGACGCGGAATCCATCAGAACTGGCAGGTCAGCTTACGTGCCTCGGCGCGTATACGAGGCACCGACTCACACTGAGCCTATTGCTTTGCATAGCCGGAGGATTGGAGCAATTCAACCGCCGCCACCAAAGGCCGCGCCAAAGGTCATTTTTGGCAGCAAGCAACCATTGCCCAAGGAACTTCCCCGTGCAGCTTCTTCGGTACCGGCAAAGGCAGATATTCCAAGGAAATCACCGCCTCGAGCAAGGTCTCCTATTCGGACTCAGAGTGCATTCGGGTACAAGGCGCCTCCGCGAGGTTTGAACAAGGCCGAACCCAGAAGCAAATCGAGCTCAAACCCGCCACAAGGGTACATCGTCAAGCCGCCACCGCCGCAGGTCGTTAAAGCAGCTGCTGCTAGCGCTGCAACTTCCGAGGCTGGCACACGCTTTCGATCGCCACCAAGAAGGCCACCGCCTGCGCCACCCCCGCCGCCTGGAAGGCCTGTGCCGCCCAAGGAGCTTATCATCGCTCTTGACTGGCACGGAGTTCTTGACGTTGGGCAGCAGGGACCCCACCTCAACCCGGAGGTGATCCGGCATCTCGTTCAATTTGCAGCCGACTACGCACCTATAAATTTTATAGTGCTATCCTTCGTGGGCAGGGCTGCAAGCGAGTATCGCCGCCGCGAGTTCCAGGTCGCCCTGGAGCACGCGCGGGCGACATCTGGACTCACTTTCTCTGCGATAAAAATCGTACACGAAAGGTTGGGTAGGGGAGGCAAAGCAGACGCCCTTCAGGGGCTGGGCGTTCACGCCCTCATTGACGATACAGCTGCGATTGTCCGTGAAGCTCAAAAGACAGGCATCGCGGCGTTCCGCAACTTCCCGCATTTCGGGCCGAGCGGATTTGCCAACGCACTTGAGAACCTTGGGGAGCATATCGAGTCCCGGAATCGACTTTTCATTCCGGCGGCAAGGGGCCTGCATCCATCGCAGTACCTCGAGGAGCTCCACCGATCTGCATCCCAGTTGCCCGCCAACCAGGTACTTCGATAGCCTTTCTTGCAAGCCGTTAAAACCGTCGCTTTGCGCGGTACAGCATCTTTGCAGCTACAGGCATTCGATTTGCAGACAAATTCTCAACACAGCTTGGCAACATCCCTCGATAAAGCACCATAGTGCGGCAGTGCGGATCAATCAATCTACAAGTACAATTACAAATACAGAATTCATCAGGTGCAAAGCAGCAGGGCGTATTTTCTTGAGTGGCTCACTTGAGCGTTTCGCAACCAGCTGCCAATCCAATGCATGTTTTATGCCTATAATTCGTGCAAGGCCAAACAGTGCGCATTTCTCCACAGTGATACCAACAAGTACACTGGTCCCAAGCCCAAAAGTTTGTTGTCACCGCCGCCGCCAAAGGCGAGTGCAGCTGTTGCACAGCTCATTCCGGCAATGGCAAGCGTCGCTTCTGACGACAAGCATCAGTTGGCTTTGGGATACTGCCGCAGGGAGACACTTGATCGGACGTCAAGCTTTGAATAGCAACATGATCAAGTGCGTGCGCGAGAGCAGCACACCCGTAGGTTTTGCGACTGGGGGTGGTGCCCAGGGTCGGCCGTTTGGCACGCCCAGACCTGGTCAAGCCCATTGGCGACCTTGCCTCATTTGTTCAGAAATGGTCTAGGAACTGCGATAAGCAGCTACATAGGCTTGTCTGCTACATAAACAGCACGGTCAACAGCACGCTAGTCGGCACAGTTCAGGATTCGACTGATGAGTTGCATCTGTCTCTCTATGTGGACGCCGATTTCGCTGGAGAACGAGACGCAAAATCAACGTCCGGAGGATTCTTGACTTTGAGTGGTCCGCATACGCATTTTCCCCTTGCGTGGGTGTCTAAAAGGCAGACCTCGGTCTCCCGATCGACAACCGAGGCGGAGATCGTATCTCTCGCATACTCCCTTTACCAGGAGGCGCTTCCTGCGCTCAGCTTATGGGAGCTGATCTTGGACAGACCATTCCATCTCAAGATCCACGAGGACAACCAGGCGACTATCCTCGTAGCAAAGAAGGGTTTCTCATCCAAGCTACGCTGTGTCCAGCGCACCCACAAGGTGAACCTCGCGTGCATCGCAGAGCAGCTTGAAAGCGAACATATCTCGATAGAATACGTCCAAACCGACATGCAGTCAGCAGACATCTTCACGAAAGCACTTCCACCCAACAAGTGGGACCATGCCATCCGGTTGCTCGGCATTCGTGTTGACCTTCCAGAGAAGCTTGAAGACGTTCGTGAAAGTAGATCCGCTAAAGCAGCTGCCTAGTGCGCTGCAGCATGTCTGCAAAATTTCCAAAAGTGTGCAAGTGACTGGGCGATGCTTGAATAACTTGCGTCAGTCGTTGTGATGTAAACTTGACTTCAAGTTGGCGTGGTAATGCGCCCAAGACACTCCCTCAGTGCCGTCAATGAGGGGGGAGTCAATTATCACGATGACATTTATGGCCCAGAGGTTTGATGAGTCAGATGACTTGCAACATGTTGCTGTACAATCAATTCAATGCCCAAGCATGACATGATCACATGTCGCTTTGGCTCAAGTGCTGAAAAGAGCGCGTTGCTCGCGCTTCCCACAAGGTTAAGGGAGAGGTCGCAGTCACGGAGGGGTTCGTTCCTTTTAAGGTCCCGGGTTCCCCCGTTGTTGACAAAACTGTGTTTCCCTCTCCTTTGAGTGTTTGTGGTGTGTTTGTGTGTGTGTGTGGTTTGTGCATGCGTGCGTGCGTGCGTGTGTGTGTGTGTGTGTGGGGTGTGTCTATTTGTGTTTGTGCTATGTCCATGTGTGAGTGCATGTGTGTTTGCTTGCTTGGTTGGTTGTGTGTTTGTTTATTTGTTTGTTTGCTTGCATGTTTTTGTGTGTGTGTGTGTGTTTGTTTGTGCCTTTGTTTGATTGATTGAGTTTGTTTGTTTTTGTGTGTGTGTGTGTTTGTGTTTCTTGTGAGTTCTTGTTGTGTGTTTGCTTGTTCGTTGGTTGGTTGGTTGTTTGGTTGGTTGTTTTGTTTTTTTTCAACCATGCTGCTTGGTTGCTTGCCTGCTTGCTTGCCTGCGTGCTTGTTGCATTTGCCATTTCCTGTTTGCTTGTTTGTGTTTGTTTGCTTGCTTGCTGTTGTTTTTTCTTTCTTGTGTTTGATTGCTTTTGTTTGTTTGCTTGCTTCAGCTTTTCTCTAATGGGTGATTTGGATTGGTGATGATAGATGGTTTGGTGGTGACGAAATGGTTTCCCATTTGCCGTCTACAAGAAGCAGGGATTCACATCTCCAATCCACCAATCCAAACCACCAACCAGTGGGTTGCTTGGTTGCTTGGTTGCTTGGTTGCTTGGTTGCTTGGTTGATTGGTTGCTTGTTTTTGTTTGCTTGTTTGCTTGCGAGCTTGTTTGCTACTTGTCGTTCATTGTTTTTGTTTGTGTGTTTGTCAGTTTGTTTGTTTGTTTGTTTGTTTGTTTGTCTAGTCTATTTGTTTCCCTGCCTCTTTGTCTCTTTGATTGTTTGTCTGATTGTTAGTTTGTTTGTTTGATTTGTTTTCCTGCTTGCTTGCTTTTGTGTGTGTGTGATTCTATTGTGTGCGTTTGTTTTGGCGTGTTTGCGTGTGCGTCACTTGTGCCGCTGCCTTGCCAAGCAATGACGAATCATGCAGCCGTAGGTCATTGCCATGGCTGCCTTTGCCTACCATGCCACCGCGCTCAGAAAATCAAGTGGTTTGGGGGATGTCCCCACGTTGCTCAAGGGACTTGTACGGAGGTCAAAGCGGCGGTGCCTGCAGACAAGGGTGTTGACAAGTTCGCTAGGCAGAGCAAGGCCGCAGTCGTAGTAGGTACCTAGTCTCGTCATTTGATTGAGGCTGGCTTGCCCAACACAAGCATGGTTGCTGGTGGGTCGCATAAGCCAACTCTGCATCCCGCTGAGCCAAGTGCTTTCTATCACTGGCAAGGCGTTCAACAATGGCCGAAGAGCTGTCCGTCAATCGTCGGTGCATTCAGCAAGGTAACTTGAATAAGATTCCTTCAGTGAATTTTACTGAGCAACCCGTTACTATCGTTTTTCGCCGAAGAAAGTGAAGCATAGGGACGCTGTGGGTGCCAGCTAAGGTAGAATACACACTGAACTTTTTGTTCGTCGCGCTTTGCAATCCACTGGCCTTCAGTGTGCCAGCCTCAGAACGTGCAGTTACAGGAGAAGCCTCAAGTATTCTTGACCTGGGGAATTGTAACCAGCCAGCTTCATCGGCAAAAAGCAGCACAGAGTGTCTCGGATCCCGAGCATCCGTACGTTTCAGCGATGTCGTGCAGACGGACATCGACAATACTTGCAAATGTATTATGTCACTGAGTCACTACCAATGGGCAGGTTGCCCTCAGAGTTTCATGTTTCACTTGAGCCTAATCGTGTTGGGGCTCAGTTCTGACTCCGAGAAATGTTCATTTGCTGTCGCTGTGGTCCGAGAGGCGGGCTGGTTGGCTTCGAAATGAGAGAATGAGGTCACGGACATTGTCCGACGGCTGGGAACGATTTGCCGCTGACTCAGATCCGTGAAGTTCCGTGAAGCAAGACATCAGTTGGCAGGCACTCATTCTCAGCCATGTGTCGAGCCCAGTGGCTAGGCCCAATGCTAACATTAGACATGCTGCCAACCTGCCCCAAACAGAGCTTTGTTTGGGATCGCAGGTAGACAGATGCCAAACTTGCCACCCAAGCGCACCCAAGGTTGCGGGGCCGTGCTGTTCAACAAGCCCATGACCTTGACGAATGGGAGCGGCGTAGCAGGCTTCCCAGGCTGCTGTGCGCGAATGCCTTCTCTTGGCTTTCATAGGGAATTGGAACGGAGTCACGCTTGAAGCTTGGGACCTTGGCGCAAATTTGTAAACTCTTGCAAGCAGCTGTGAATTGCCACCATGAATAACCTGCTGAGGTGATTTCTTTGCTGGGCGTGTGCACCTACACGCTGGTGTCAAGGCATGGGCCACGTGTTTCTTTGGATGCTGCGTGCGATTTTGTGCGTGTGTGTGTGTGGGTGGGTAGCCTCGCCAATGACTTCGTGCTTAGGGAAAGGCCCGTGGCATCCCCTGGTAAGTGAGTTGGCTCTTGCCCTCGCGTGAGGCGTGCCGCCAGTCGCAGGCAGGTTTGCTGAGGCTTAGGGAAGCCTTTGTGCCAACATGTCAAGAGTGTGGCTTTTGAGCTGGGGATTCGATCGGGTACCCCGAAGGAAGATGGGATAAAGCAGATCTGCAGATGCAACCCGTGCTGCTCCGGTTCACGGCAGGGTAATTGCTGCCAAGAATTATCAGAAATGTGTGAAGCATTTGCTCCTGTCATCCTCATCTCAGCATCGGAGTGCAGAAAGAATGTGGCGGTTGGTGTTTTTCTTGAAAAGAAGGACTTGTAAAAGGGCACTTGCCCTCTCGAGGCCCTCTTTCAGGTGCTCTTGAATTCTTGATGGAGCCCTTGGGGTGGAAGCAGAGTCTGCAGGGCACAACAGCTTTTTGCTTGCTGATGCCACGCCAGGGAATGGGCAAATCACTACAGCGCTGTGGGAAAGAAGGAGGACGGTATTTTGCACGTTGCTGGCATGAATCGGAATCTGACTGGGAATCCCAAGCACGTGCCTCCAAGCGCTAAACCAGCACGAATCCGTCAAGGGAAGCATCTAGTCTTTGGTTGTCGTGTGCGTGCTTGGCTCAAGAACCTACATTGCATGGAGCTGATGTGGGTGAACCTGGCCTTGCTCATGTCAAAGGTATCCTTGCATATGCTTTGCTTCCCATGGGCGAGCTGTTATCCATTGCTGCTGTTTGCGGCATTCGGCAATCCTATGCCGCATGCCAAGAAGTTGGGCACTGAAACAAGTGCTTTGCTGATTTTCGCATACCAAAGTGGCACCAAAATTGCTCAGTACTGAAAATGTAAAGAACGCCCCTCACCCCTTCCCCGCCCCCCCCCCCCCCGCCCCCCCACCGTGTAGGTGTCCATTTTGCTAACCCGGGCGAGTGGTAGAGCCAGATGATGACTTCCACAGCATACGCTGATTGCACTGCAGGGGGTGGCATAGTGGGATTCCTTGGCCCGGGAGAATTGAGGGCCTTACCTTGCCCTTCAGCCGGATTTGTAGCATTAGGCGCTTGGCAGGGGTCTAAGTATTGTGAGTTGTTTGTTCAATGGTCCAACCGCAATTTATGGGCAAGTTGCATTTGTCTTGCTTAATGCTGTCGTAGCGCTGGCCAAGAGATGCACCACCCAAAAAGGCAACATCTCTGCGGGACATCATTGGTTGCCTGTGAACACACTTCTCGCTAAATTCACGCAATCTGAGCAACATGAATTGAGACATGCACGACGCCCGTGGAAATGTGTGGCTTCCCATCATCAGATACAGGCCAGGCATGTGCATGTCAGGAGAAGATTGAGATAGCCAGGCCCGAGCTTGCGTACGAGCAAGTGACCAGAATATTCATAGGGTGTCCTCCATGTCCACTGTGTTGGATCTCGAAAAGTGGCGAACATTTTGCACTTTGGAGGGGCAGTCCAGTGACCCCTGATTCAATGGATTGTTGCAAGGATCTAGTCGGCTCGAGGATACTGCAAGAGTTCGCACGTCAGACGGGTGGACGTGTGTATGATGGAGTGACTGCAAAGGCCTGAAATCCTTGCTCACAAGTCAATCACGTGACGAATGGATTTCTCCCCAAACGGGATGGGGCTGCTGGTACCTGAAGACTCACCATTTGCGCGGTCTTTTGTCCAACGGCAACGCAACATCAGCTTGAAAGCGTTGATTGAATGCTGCGGCGTGACACGTGGCTCTAGAGATACTTGTGCGAGAGAGGAAGTATAGCTGGGAGACCCCAGGCCCAGTCAAACCACGCAAGCGCGTCAAGCGTCAGGTGCCGAAGTCCAGCCACGGGGCAAGCAGTCGACATTGACTAAAGTGACTAAAGAAGCCGGCAGTGAATTTGCGCCTTCGATGTACCCCATTGCCGTAGCATGCCAAGGGAGCCACTCAAGCTGCGAGTTTTGGACTGGGCTTTGGGCCTCAGCTTGCCATGAGTTTATCATCCCTCTCCACGGAGAATGGCGTGGACTCCCTGCACATTAGCACCTTGGCAGTCTTGGCACCTTGCTGCCGCACATTGCAATGCAAAGTGGCATGTTCCACGGATTTGGGCTCTGGGAAGGTCATAGTCCTTTGTCTTCGTCCTCTTGCTTTCCAATTCTCGCCGTTTGCCGAGGCAAGCAGGTGCTGCATGCCATGCAGGCAAGGCGCCAGCTCTCGTTCCCTGTGCCCTACTGCACCTTGAAATGGGAGGAGGGGTCTTGTGTGGTTATGCGTGATCGTCCGACATATTTGAGCATAATCCTGAAGTGAGCTTGGCAAAGGGTGTGGTGTCTTTCGATGCTTGGATGGCATGTTCCTCTTTTGAGGGTGGGATGCCTGTGGGTATGTGTCATGAGGACACCCAAAACTTGTTTCTTTCCTTTTGGTTGCCCCTGAGAATAATGAAAAGAGGGTCCTGTTTGTTCCCCAGGCAGCTTTTTCTTCCCCATCCACACGTGCATCCCCAGAGGACTTGGAAGTTGCCTACCGCACACACCACGGCCGCCGGGTCACTTTGCACCGGCAGTCTGGCTCCGTGGAAGGCGTGGCAGCTACAGCTTTGCTCAACTATGACCAAAGTTTGAGGTGTTGGTGTGCGTTGTGTGTGGCTTGCGAGCACTGAGAGAGCGAAGGCCACCTTGAGGTCAGTTTGCAGCCGCATTTGTCAGGCAGCTGCATGATGGCCATCATGGGCGCCTCCGGCGCTGGCAAAAGCACACTCTTGGACACGCTCACCAAGCGGAAGACCTTAGGCGACGTTTCAGGCTGATCCGATCCGATGGGTATCCAAAGCACACGCTGCACGGCAGAGAGGTGATGTTTAACATCAGTGCAGCACAAGTAAGGGCTCACCGGGCGTTGGTTGATGTGCCAACCACAAAGGAAGAATCCAAGGCCGGCAATCCCAGAGTAGAAGCTGGCAAGCAGGGAGCGAAATTAGTTCAGAGAGCAATGAAGCGCAGATCACGTGATTCTGCTGTGATCATGTGCTTGTCTGACACCGTGCGAGAGTAGATATGTTGGCTGGATGCTCACTTGCAGCTAAACTCATTTCTCATGACACCAGCAGGGAGCAAGTGGAGCACGCTGCAGTGCCAGGCAAAGTCTACGTCAACGGTCGGCCGCAAGACGAGCACTTCTTCTTCGCCTCGGCATATGTACCGCAGGAGGAGAACTTGGTGCCGACCAATACCGCCACCTGGAGGGCTAGAGAAGATGCTGATGGGTTGGTCTAGAGGGAGCCCAATCGGCCCCATTTTGAAACAAACCCATGTCAAATAATCAGTTGTTTGGCCGAGGGGGGGGGGGGGCGGGAGTTTGCATGTTTGTGCCAGCTTCGGACGGCAAGCCTTGCAAGGACTATTCAGGCTTTACCTAATCCAAAGTTCCACGTGACTTGCAGTCAACACGCTCGGGGCACAAGCCAGGTCACTGAGCGTTGCAAGCTGGGCAAAGCCTTCAGAGGCAACTTGTTCACGAGTATGTATTTTCCTTAGAGCAGAGCCAAGGTTGGTGAGACAGTTGAGTTCTATGCAGACCTGACCATGCCGCGGCAGATCTCCAGTCATATGCGTGGCTTGGCGCAGCTATGGCCTGCGCCAACCCCAACCCCGGCCTAACTCCTGCCAACAGTTTGAATGATTGGTTGGTGTAATGGGAAGCTGCTCTGCATGTTTGCCCACAAGGACGCCTAAGCATTGCCCTGGAATGAAGCTGTGATCTGTGAATACAACCTCACGAACCACTGAGCGGTTCAGAGTGCAAATGTAGCTTGCAAAGGGGGTTGGACACTGACGGTGTTTCCTCCCGATGTTGGCTCAACGGGCATCCAACCAGTCCTGACGAGGCCGGCGCGCGGTATCAGAGCGCTTGCAATCCGTTGGGCTTGCAGACAAGGCGTGTGAGCCGTGTGCAGTAATGCAATCAATTTGATGCAATGTCGTAGAACAAGAACAGCACTGAACACTGAGAGTAGCATGTCGGCATGCCGCCCATGTATGCATGCCAATGTGTTGAGCATTTTGGAACTGTGCGTATTGATAGCATCTAACATGTACATCACGGTTTTGGGACGGACGGAGGATCGCGATACCTGCTGAACGGGCCATGATTTTCCAGCGTCAGGGTTTCTGCTTGCCATGTGCATGATTTGGGTTTGGCCCAAAGTAAGAGATCCCTTTCGGATGGTTTTAAAGGAAAACTAAAAGGATGCCAACAACCTGGAGGTTTGAGAAACAAGCATTTGCCGGGCCAGGAAGGGAAGTTCGTGGGCGGCCGCTTGCCCGGGGGATTTTCAATCCGCGGTCTCTCCGGAGGAGAGAGGCGGCGTCTGAATATTGCAGCAGGCGCGGGGGAGTTTTGGGGGGCCTTTGATCAACAAAATGGGACCCTTGAGTGTCCTGTTTTGGTGTGGCTTCATCACATTTGTAGGAAGAAAACCCTGATATTAGGACAGGTATAATGGTTTTCTTCATCCGCGCCCAGCATGTTGCTGACATCCACTGTCCGGCAAGGCGTGGTGCACTCTCCGCCGCTGGTGTTCCTGGATGAGCCGACCACCGGCCTTGATGCCTTCAGCGCCTTGTGCGTCATGGAAAGCATCCGGGCGCTGGCTCGCGCCGGCCACGTAGTGGCCTGCACCATCCATCAGCCCAGGCAAGCGATCGTGGAGCCATGGCTTTTAGGTGCAAAGTCGTTTTGCTGCCGGCCGGAAGTTTTGTGCTAAACGAGGCATCGAAGTGGACCGCGGAAGAGCAACATGTTGCAGTTTGTAAGTTCGACACTGACAAATCTGGCGGGTACTGTAGCTCTCGGACAAATCTTGCAGGAGAGCCATGCCAGCAAAACTTGTGCTGAGGATATGTTTGACAAGGTGCTGTTCCTGGCCTGCGGGCATTTGGTGTACAATGGCCCGCCGAGCGGACTGCGAGACTGGCTCACTGAGTCGGGGCTGTGGGACCCAGACCGGGCATTGACCACGTCGATCACAGACATGGTCCTGGACTGCATCACAGCTGCTGGGCGGATTGGGGGGTGTAATGTAATTGTGAGAGTCCCTGCCGCCTGCTTGAGGGGTGCACGCGATTTGCCATATGAAGAAAGTCACGTAATTGCAGCACTGTGGCTGCCCAGACCTACCGCTGTGCTGTTGAGGGGGGAAGCCAGTCAGGTGTGCGCTGCACTTTTAGCAGGTGCATGCAAGGGATAATAGTGGATTTAGAACGACTTCTCCACGCCGGCGTACTTGGCTTGATAGTATGAGCATGTTCGTTCTACCGACGCCAAGGTTGGCTTTGAGAAGCCGCCCCACATCTACGGCATTCACACCCTTCGGGATGAGTCAGATGTGGCAACTCGCAGGGCTTCAGTACTGGTTCTCGGTCCGTGCGGTTTCATGGGTGCATCCCTGCACAACAGTACATGCACAACGCCTAATGCTTATGAGTGCGCTTGTCTCGGTTGCCGCGGCTGTTTGCAGCTATCATCAACCCACCAGTATGGCAAATACTTCCATACATAGTGCACCCATCCCAAACTGAGTACCAGCTATTGATTATGGAAATGATCGAAGAAGTGATTGAAAAGCCTTTGCCTTGAGGTATTTGCCCTCTAAGTCGCCAGAGACAAAACATCGGGGGCAAAGTGCATGCCACCGAAGTTGAAGTTGAATCATGACGTCCTATGACCGCGTGCCTTCAGGCAGTCTGTTGACCGTCGTTAGGCTGCGGCTGTCATGCTGTGTTGGAGCCCGCTTTTCGGCTGTCGTGAACAACTTTATTGATCAGGGCTGGTCAGCTTCTCAAGAGACGGAATTGTGAAGACGAAAGTACACCATATTCTAGAGACTATGTACTACAGCGCTGCAAGCCAAAGCTCTCAAGTGCATACAATCACAAGCAAACATGCGGGGCATGGCCATACTAATAATTGAAGCGTTTGGTGCACTTCTTTCATGACCTCGGCCTGCTTGGCTTCCTGCATACCAATGGGAAAGCATTTCCTGGAGGCTGTGGAGTCAGGCAAAACAAGTAATGCCTGGGGCTCCACAAACAGGCAGCAATGTGGCTATGTCGCGAAAAGGGCTTTTTGGGCATGAAATAAAGAGATGTGTTTCTCACTTTTCAATGGCATCAGCATCAGCCAAAAGAATGCCCATGCAAAAACAAGGACGCTGTCCTGAGGGTGTGCTTTCACGGCCCTTTGCAATGCTGAGGAAAGGCTTGCGGCTGCATACCTTAAGTCAGCGCCGCAGTTGGACTTTGAGAATGGTACATTGCCGTCCGTGAGCCGAATGGTGCACCGCCGCCCTGGTTTCCTCCGGCAGTTGCTCGGCTTATAGCTATTCACTTGAAAAGTATTCAGGGTTTGGCCATCGCATGCTTTGTCGCATCGCAGAAGGCCCGCATCAAAATGATAATGTTACAACAGTTGGTGTTTGCATGGCTGGGTGAGGTGGAATGGGCCTGGATTACACCAGCCCGATTGTTCTGGAGGCATCACAGACATGCAGGTTCACACAAGCACTTCCCTTTCGCAACAAGGCCTTCAGGAGCCTCCCTGAAGATACCTCAACATGGACAAAGACAACCAGGCCACACAAAGCACGATAAAACAGCTAGTGCATGGACAGCTGCCCCATTCTGCCCTGGACCAGCAATTCAGTCAAACAAAGAACACGGCAGCCAGATGTCACAACCAAACGACTTTCGGTGACAGCTAGCCCAAGTGGATTGCTTGGTATCAAGCTTAAGGTATCGCACCTTGCAGTGGCAGCAACTCCGAAGCTCCCTGCGCTCCCCGGGCACGCTCGCAGCGCGGATTGGCCTGCATTTCCTGACAGGTGTGCTCATGGGACGCCTGGCAGAAATATGTATTTTTAACAGTATAGAGCCGGATGAGGCTAAGTTTTTTGTGCATGAAGGAAAGCACAAGGGGTGTGTGGCGATTTGTTTTAAGGCAACCCAATCACACTTAACAGCCAGTCAAGCATGGCCCGTGCTCAAATTGTTCAATCTCAACGGCACCAAATGGCATCTCAGGCAGCGTCTATTATGACATGGAGCGCAGCTACATTGAGCCACCTACTGGACTCTGGCGCGCGCTGCCTCTGCCGCTGCAACGTCATTCCAGCATGCCAGAGAATCGCGTTGGAGCACCTCGGATATAGCAAGGACTATAACGCTGCAAAAGCTGGCTGGGGCAACCTCATTGGGAGCATATAGGAGAATTGAAAAAAGTATTCAGTTTGCCAAGCTTTCAAAGGGAAGCAGTCCAACTGCCCACTATGTTGTAACATCATGCTACTTTCGGCACAAGGTCCTGTTTCTTCTAGCGCTGGCGCAGACGGTCACTCCAAACTGTGCCATGCCTTTCTTCATCGACGATCGTGACTTGTCCAGTATTACATTGGGGCTGGGCACGGGCCGGTTGAGTTCTTTTGCAGCGGCATGCTATTGTGTTTGACTTCGGTTGCTGGCCTTCGGTTTTTGAGTTGCGCAAGGAACGTGCCTCTTTGAACGATTGGTAGCAAAGCACGACCATCCATGCCGTATTTGCTTGCGCCTGTCCCCAGACTTTGGGAGGACAACAATGTGCCTCGGAGGCTGGCAGGGACGCCATGGTCCCGAGCAGATAGTGGTGGGAACGGACACCCTGGCATGTGTAGAGGGTAAATGGGCAAGAGCCGGAACACCTCCAAACCAATCCAAACCGCAAACTAAGCGGAAGCTGATCAAGAAACCTGATCAAGAAGCCTACAAATTGTCACACGACTAAAGTATGTGTATTTTTCCCAGGCGGCTTAAGCAAGCGGATGAAACCTTTGCCTAGGCCAATACTACTCCAAGGAGTCTGCCGCGCGGCTCTACGGTGCTTTGCCTTACCACCTGGCCAACGCTGCCAGCGAGGCGGTCGTTTGCATGGTCAACGGCATTTGGGCCTCCGGCATCGTGACATGGCAACTGGCACGGTTCGCCGTTCGGTTTGTCACTAAATACGGAACCCCCAAGCTGTGGTTGCTCTTTGGTTTCCGTTCAAGAGCCACTCCTCCAAAAAAGAGACACCCGGTTCGCAACATGCAAGAGACAGCTGCACCTGAGCAAGGTGTCAACCCACTTTGCATTGCGATTGAAGGGCAAGTGGTCATAAGGGCCCTCCACGTAAGGCAAACATGTGGCGGCGAAAGGCCGCGCAAGCGTGTTGCGCAAGTGCAAGTGGCGCGGATGATCTCTTAAGCTACCCCTGTCCTTGCTAAAGCTTACATAAACACCTTGGCGGAAGATTTCTTTATGACCTAGATTTGGGCAGGACTTTTTGAAAGCCGCTCATCTGAATCCATGGCTCTTCTGATTTCGGGCTAGCTAGGTTCCTGGAAAACAACAGGGCACTTGTTCCCAAGCTGGCACCGATCAAAGGTCAACTACAGGCAACGAGTGACAATTCCATCGAGTGAATAGTGCATAATGATGAAAACAATTTAAGAACATCACGCAAGTGTGGCAGATAAGCAAGTTGGCGCCTGCAATATATCTGCCAATTCGACGGATTGGAGCTTCCACTTTCACTATCTATCCCCCGGGAAGGCCAAAACAAGTGATGTGCCAACTGGTTCCATGTTGCCCAAGCCAAGTCAGCAGTCCCGAGGCTTTCCCAAATTGGCCAAACAGAGTGCAAAGCACAACTTATGCCCTGTTCAGCTTGACGTTGGACGGGTCTGAGGCTACCTACCTAGCAGGATTGCCTTTGAGTGGCAACTGGTTCTCGACCATGGCCTTCCTGGCCCCTCGCCTGCCCCGTGATCAGGGCATTTGAGCGGCACGATTTCAAGGAATCGCGAAGTTGAACACAAGCTTGAGAACATGTTGCGCGTTGATTAAAGGAGATGTGTTTGCTTGTCTTTGTGTGGGAGTTTGTGTTATGATACGTGCCCTTTTGTTGGTGTCTTTGGTCAGGCTAAATTCTGCTATGCTGTCTCCGTCTGCAGCATTTGTTTCGCTTTTCGGCAATGCTGTGGTCATTGTTTTCTAGATTGGCGTGTGTCGCAGTCGCAGGCTTGAGCGGTTGTCGCAGGACCGGATGATGCTAGAAGTGCCCTTCACAAGCTGTTGTTCTATTTACGTGTGCTCAGGAGACGGTGTTGCTAGCTGCTAGCAAAATTGAGTCAGCTGTGGAATTAGACTGTGTAAGCTTGGCGTTCCTGTCATCGAAAGCAGCAAATTCATCACAAAGTTGGGCACTGCAGCTCAAAGTTGCCTCGAGGAAAGGCCAATGCGGCGCGATTCGATCATTCGCCTGCACCGCACAAGCTATGCAGAATTGTTCAAACTGGACCCCTTGATTTGCAACAACAGTGTTCAGATTGCAACTTTTGGGTAACATCGTTGAAAGGGAGGTCAGTGAAGCCTGGATCAAACCTGATGCGCTTGCCTCCAGCGCGTCTCTGAGGTCTCCCACCACATGTGCTCCAGTGCGTTGGTGCAGATGTGCGCGCGCTTGGCGCCAAACCAGGATGTGGCCTTTGTGCTGAGCGCGGGGTACATCATCGCCGCGCGGCATCGGACTTCGACCCTTTTGGGTGGCATGGTGCCATGAATCCCCCCCATGTTTCCATTTGATGTGCTGTCAACATGTCTAGATTCAAGAGGGCCTTCTTGGTTGGGAAGGGGGTGTGCGGTACATGCCCACATCCAAGCGGATGTTCGGCTGCTTGTTCTTCTGTCTTGCAGTTGCCAAGGCAGTTGCAGTTCCAGCATTGCCAAGCCGAAATGAAACATGGTATGTTTGTCAGGCATTTTGAGCAGTTGGGCACATATGTGGTAGATTGCTGACAAACTTTGACATGACCTAGGGCGTACATTCTCTCAATAGAGTCTAGTGGCTGCAACGTTTGGACCCGAGTAAGGATTCACCAGAACGCCTTGGGTTTAAATGCATTGCGTGGCTTGTGGGATATCACCTGGTTTGGGCTAGTCACTTAGTATGTCACTAGGCCTGGCTATCGCATGAGGTCTGCATGCTCTTTGCCAACATCGTGGTGAAGGTGGCGATGGTCACGCCTTTTCTGGCGTGGATCCGATGGTGCACGTTCATGTACTTCTCCATGGCTGGCCTAATAGAGGCAGAAAAGAAAAGGGATGGGAGTTGAAGCAATGCAAGCCGGTGCATGCATGATGGTCTTCCACTCGATGCCTGGGCCTGTCAGTGTTCCTGCAGGTAGACCCGAAGCTCCCAAATTGTTTCTAATATACATATTGAATTCATGTATATAAAGGCATATTATATACGTTTTGATATTCAGACGTAAAAGGTTACAAGTCCACCTTCTGACAGGAGCTTCCAAGACACACTGATGCCTGTGCAAGGGACCAACGAGATTGGCAAACACAAAGATAAAAGTTGCAGGCATTGCGCGGAATAACTCTAATAACAGCATTTTATAGAAATCTTATGGTTATTTATCTTTTACCTTCATTCCAAATCTATTTATTATTTACTGTAATCTCCTGACTCATCCAAAGGCGAGAGGCAATGGAGAAACAGATTCCTTTGTCCCATTCAGAATTCTTCCCTTTGTGGCCTGTCTTCTCTAGAATTCTTGACCATTGACTGCCAAGAAACCCCTTCTTCCCACTCCACAGGTTGCAGTCGAGATCGATATGTTCCTCGTGCTTGTTCCTTGTGTTTTTGTTTCATGCCCTCTCCACGTTGCTTATAGACCATGCTCATATTGCGCCGGTCTTGTTTCCCGGCTGATCTTATGGCGATCGCTCCATTTGACGGCGCTATACGGCGCTGTTTTGCTCGAGTTAGGTGCCAGTGTCGGGGGGGGGGGGGGGGGGGACCGGGCAAGTGCCAGGCGGAGTTCAGCGGCACCACGGAGCAAGGCTTCCCAGCCGGCGACAAGGTGGTGGAAAGCTTCCGAATCCGCTTCCACTATGGAGAGGAGGAGATACACTCGCTCGACCAGATGAGCTGTCTCCTGATAGTGTGGTGCTTCTACGCATTTTTCTCGACAGTGGGCTTCGTAGCCCTGAAGTTCGGAAGCAAGTCACAGGTATAGGCGCGACCGCTCGTCCGGTTTCAGGTGCGGCGGAAAAAGGGTGCGATGTGGGACGCTTGATTTGGCCAGCCCAACACAGCCGGCCGCTTGTTCGTGCGGAGGCAAGAGCCGGAAAAGGCGGAGGATCCAAGGCGCGGCAGAGGAGGCCTTGTCACGTGCCGAGACTGGGCCCTGCAGGTGGTGGATGGCCTCGGATAGCTCGATGGGCATCTCTCCAGAGGTGCAGGGCTGAAAGCCGTGATAGACATACAAGTTGCCTCCCATTTGTTGCGTTTTGAACGAAACCAGGAATTCAAGTTCACAGAAATCCGCAGAGCCACGCAGAACCCTGCTCGCCCAGCAAATAGCACGCCATGAGCTGAATCAAACGCGGATCAACCACTCGGAGCCTAGTGCAGCTGTCTGAATCCAAATTCTTAAGTGCCGCTTTGCCAGGACTTCTCAACATTTGCAGACCCAAGCAAATATGTCAGCTGAAATGCACTCGGGTGGTTGCGAAGAAATTCTCAGCTTGGCATGCTTGTTCCCCCTTGCTGGTTGACAATGGACAGCACCCTGCGCCCAGGTATGTTTATAGTTATAGTGAAAGCCAAGCCTGCATTGGTCGGGGATAAGGCAAAACTTGTTTTGCTCCAGCCTAAGCTTGCTCCAGGTGCTCTGCGCCTTGCGAGTGCCGCGCGCCTAGCTCCGCGGGCTTCGGAATTTTGACCTTCAAATGGCAGCAAGTTGTGTTTCATTTGGGTTTGTCTCCAAATAGGGGAACGCCAAAATGGCAACAATATCCTTTCGGTTTACCTTTAACCCACCCGGAAAGGGTGCCGTGAAACACCCGTTGCTGCAGCCCAGTGCCCTTAGGTGGCCGCACCCGCGCAGGACGTGACACGGGTTTCAGTTCAACTGGCAGCCGTACGTGGATCGTAAGCGGTCTGAGAAAAGTTACCATCCAGCAGCACTTAAATGCTGAGTGAATGCAACGATGCGTGCAAGTATTCCATTTCCGATGGTCTTCACTCACATTGAAGCATAACTGCCATGTCGAGCGAGGAAGCGATTTGGGCGATTCCACAGCGACACGGGTTTGACACAGAGGCTGGCTGAAATTTGCATCCAAGGTCAGCTGGTTGGCAAACGCTACTCAGAGCGACTGAGAGCAGCGGTTCACAAATCGCCAGTGTTCGGACAATGGTGTGCTTCCCAGGCATGATGGCGCTCCCGCATTGGATGCGGGCCAGCAGCTGAGGGACTTCAGGCGGTGTATTTCTGAGGCCGCGGAACGTGGCGAGCCGCTTACAGAGGACAAGTGAAATACGATCAATATGTTCGAAATGCAGTTCGATTGCGTCGCTACATTGTTAAACGCAAGGTATGCCGACAACTTGCCATACGTACATGTATGTTTGTTTCCAACGTGATTTCCACGCAGGGCCTCCATCCTTTTCATACAAACAAAGAAACATGTTTTTTCTACAGGAATAACAGCGAACAGTCGAAGTCGGGCCGGCGTCGATGTCAACCACCTTTGTCTCGACGCGCCTGCCTTACAAGGGTGCGGCACGGTCTCGGCGCCCGGCCCATTGGCACAACAACAAAAAAGGCTTCGCAAGGTTACAATTGCATGGCACGCACAACACTTTCGCAAGGTCAGGTGCAATTTGATTCCGTGGCAAGCACAGCGCGTTCACAAGGTCAGGTAGAGATTTCCTGCAGGCACAGCTCTTGCGCAACGAGATCTATACTTTTTTTGCCCCCAGGAGTCTTGCACACCGATAAGGGGAAAGAGTGCATGCATGCGAGAAAACATGCAAGTGTCGGGGAAATAGAAACATGGCCTTGGCGAACGGATTAGCGCGGCGGCGCATGTGAGCAGCTCTAAAACCCCCGTTACATCCCGAGCAAGAGTTGTGTCATAACAAGGCGTAAGCCGGCGTAAGCACTTTTGAGAGAAACATGCTGCGTAAGCACCTGCGTAAGCTCTTCTTCGTGATTGCTTGGTAAGCTTTGTAAGCATGCTCGGAAAAGTTGTTTCGCACATGTGCTCATGTGTTTTTTCGTGGTTTGTGCTGTTGCAACCTGCTCGAGCTTGGCAACTTGCCCTGAGACTTTGGCAGGAAGACGTCTAAGACCGTATGTGCGCAACCAGCAGGGCTTTGGTGGAGAGCTCTTGGGGCTCATGCTGGGTGCTGTTGCAACCTTTACTGGAACAAACAAAGGCTTCTACCGCTGAAAACTAAAGGGACTCGGGCGTAAGCTCGCGTAAGCAGGCGCGTAAGGTTTGCGTGCGCTCGCCTAGCTCGGCTGCCCGCTAGCCCTCTCCATGGATGCCGCTACCGCATAACATGTTTCTTGACTTGCAGTAAGAACAACTTACAACGCCAAGCCGCTGAAGCTCGCGAGGAAAGCTCTTTGTCATCTTTCTCAGAGTCCACATCATCTTGAACAGTTCTGGTGGCTGCGTGAGAAATGGAGCCCGCGCAAGCAATTCTTGAGGGAAACGCTCAAAACTCCGACGCGTAAGCGATGCGTAAGCTTAACATACTCGCTGATTGCTGCGTAAGCTAAGACATGTCGCGTAAGGAAAGCGCAAGCTTGCGCTAAGCAATTTGATACGACATAGGGATTCATGGGAGGTTTATAGAGTCGCTCAATGTCTTTATTAATTTCCATGGCAGACACAATATTTACATTTCGTCATAGACAATATTTTCGTATGGATTGTGATAGATAGATTTACAATTTCGTGGCGAAGAATAATTTGATATAGATTCCTTGGCATTATCTAATTTTCGATTTTTGAAACATAATAAATATATTATATTGATTAAATTGAATTATTAATATAAATAATTATAATATATATATATATATATATTAATTATGGTTTTGATAATTATATATATATATATTTGGTATACATTATAATAATATTTGAAATTATTTGGGAAGGATATTATTTAAAGGAATATTATCTTTTGTATTTTGGTTTGTGTTTATGATATTTATTTATTATATGAATGATGAATATATTATTATAATTATTTATGTTTGAATTTTATAATATATTTTATTAGAATTTCTTATTATATTGAATATTTTATTGAATATATTTTGTCGAATATTTTATTAAAATGGTTGCCGTCGAATATTATATTGATGAATTTTATGAACCAATCGAATATTTGATTAGAGAAATTCATTAATGAATTATATCGCTCCGATTGGGTATTCTTTTCGAGTAGCTCGTTAATGGATTTTGTCGAATATTTTAGAGTAATTTGTTAGAGTATTTGAGTTAATAAGTTTGTGAGGGAATTGATCGATTCGAAATATTAAATATTTAAAAATATAATATATATCATATTTATATATATAGTAAAATAATATTAACAATTAATATTTATATTTGATGATTTGAATTAAGTTAATTCAAAATTTAAATAGTATTGATTCCGGAGTTATGGTCGGCACGATATAATATAAATTTATATTAATTTTATTGGTGCGCTTGAAGAAATGAACGCTAGGGATTGTCTTGTTTGTAGTTGATATGGTATGTATGTATAGGTAGTCGCGATGAATATATTTTTGTGTGTGTTAAGGTCTGCTGACAAAAGAAAGAACATTCCTTGAGACAATTCTATTCTTCGTTTTTTGTTTTGTTTTACTTATTTCATTTGCGTTTTTGTATTGTTCAGACGGGAGAAAATTTTGGAACGGGCGGAGCAGCTGGTGATATTGTTCATCATAATCCGGTTTGGAAAATTAAGATTTTCATATGTTTTCTTCAAGCGATACGGAGATTTGTTTGTTTTTGTTGGTGGATCTATTGCAGCCTTCATGGGCCAGGTTTGTTTTAGTGTGGCATAAATCATATCATGTTGAGATAAAATCGTTTTGGGATGTGTGGATCGCCGGGGGCGTTTAATTTTAGGGAATTAGTGTTCGGATCTTTGTTTTTGCTTGGATTTATTTCTGGTTTGCGTTCCCATAAATCGATCTCGGTCCGAGCCCGACGGGTATGGAAGTGGATGGCCTACATATTATTCCCTATATTTGTCGGTATTAATTTGAATCCGGAGATCTTTCTCGCTATTGAATCCCGTACGGGAAAGGGATATTATTATCCTGTGATCGGGTGTGTTTGCCACAGATTAGGTGGCCGACCGCGCTAGAATACGACAGTAGGGTTGCGTTCTTATATTCACTAACAATTGGCAGGGGAATTGCCAGGGCGTCCCCCCGAGGGCCGAGGGGTGGCTTCAAGCCCATTCGTTTGCGGACTTTCGGTCGGCGCTCGGGCTGTGGGGGCAGACATCCTAGGTGTGGGGACTCTTTGGTGGCAACATTTATTCTATTCTTAATGGGATCCGAAGGTTTTCTAAAGAATTATTAATTTTGAATAATATTTTTGTTGCACGTCGGTGCGTACTAAAGAGCATGTTCCTATTCCCCTCTTTCCTTTGGCGCGAGAAGAGTACGGCAAATTGGTGGATGCCATTCTTTAAAAAAACGAATTAATGTTTGGGATTATCTTCCTCCTACGAAAGGCGGACGGAGGGCGTCCGACACTAAGGCCATGCAAAACGCAAGGCAACTTAAATCGATTGATTTCTTTTTCTCAAATATATATTGTGTTAATTTCACCATGATTAATGACCCTAACAAGCGTATTACTTCACCCAGAGCTTCCTTTTGTGTTGGAAGATGGGGGGTTAGGGTTATAATAAGAGGTTATACAGAGTGTCAAATAGAAAGATTCCCGATTATCTATATTAAAATCTCGACGACGCGATACTTATCCCGTCTTAGACCGCAAAATTTTGGAGGCTGAGCACTTAATTTCTTCAGGACAACCTTCCCAAATTCTTCAACGATTTCTTTATCCTGGATTAACTCACAACATGAAGGAGGTTCGAGGGATATTGTTAACCAAATTTCGTTTTTGCCCGCTAGAATCGCTATCACGAGTTATGGATATACCGCTTTCTAACCCTATAACTATCAACAATTTAATCCGGCAGATTCACTCTTTTGCCATAAGTGTTGGTCCGGGACCGGATTAAGAGTTGATTTCTTGAAAATTCTTCTAGGTTCCGGCTCGGATGAAATTGTGATGCAATTTTTTCACGACTTTACTCAGTTATTAGCTAATAGATTGGCCCCCGCTTATTTATGCCTTCGGATTGGCGAAAGGTTAGGAAGATCGATAATATTAACCCCGGATTAATAAATCGATCTTTTAATAGGGAATATTTACTTCTAATAGTGATAATTCTCCACTAAAATAAGAATACCTCCTATTAATCAACCAGGGGTTTATTAATCCGGGGTGCCTATTACCGGGGGGAACCCATTCCATTAGATGAAGATGTTCGCCCGATTATTATGGGGCTTATTTAACGGAAATTTGTGTTTATATATATTTTAGCAATAGACTATTATTTAGCACCTAATCAATTACTTGTTGGCGTTTTCTATAGTGTTTTTTTCATGAAATGTTGCTTGCCTAATTCTTGAGGGATGCCCGCGGCCACATGCCTTCCTCGACTCGATTTGCTTCTTATTCATATGGAATCCCGTTTTATTTGGCTTGTTAAAGATAATTAGAATAATATTCATAAAGATAATAAAATTATCCCATCATGAATCCTTTATTTTGTTTTACTTGTTATCGAATACAAGCCGCCGTGTTTGCCGCTAGCGACAAACTTTCGCCGGAATTTACGTCCGTTTTTGCGGACGATAGGTTTATGGGAAGGGAGATTGAAGATGTTTGGGCTGCTTTTCAACCACAAATGTGTTTGGCTTAGGAATACGGGTTTCACGTCCAATCGCACAAATACACCTTTCACCTTCTTACGGAAGAATAATTCCGCAAAAATGTTTCATGTTTCCAGGCATTTAGATTTATTATAATTATTAATCATAATGTATCTATATTTAAAGCGCCTATTATAGGGTCGGCGGAGTTTTTATAATTATTTTTATGAATAAAATAATTAGGAAATTAATAAATTCTTCTTTGCGATAGAAAGCTTGCCGTAAGTATGCAGCTTTCCAACTTATGCAGAATAATACTAGTTTAAACAAGATATAATATTTGTGCCGCACCATTCCCAAACCTTTAATTGGACCATATTTGGATTTCTTTCATGATCGAATAAAAATATATTTGGAATTATATTTGGGAAATATTTTAATTCGAACCCAATAATCACAAGCGAAGTTGCTTACTAAGCAAGGGGGACCTTCTTAGCGTCGTTTTCCGCGATTGGCCCTGGATATAGCGGTTACGTCTCCTTTCCAATCTCGTACCTTAGGATCCGCGGCATAAAAATTATTGATAACAATATACCAATATGCCGAATATAAACACACTCATTAATTTATGGAATCGATATATGACTTAAAATATTGGCTACTAGCCTTTGGTTTGGAAAAATACGAGTAGATTAAATATCGAGGGAAAATAGTTCCTTCGATTCTTTGTTCGTATGGTGGATGAAAACAACATTATATCTTAGGATTACATAGACCCAATTAAAAATCCGAATCTCATTTGAATTACAAAGAAATTATTACTTGACTTGGGAAAAACATCGAAAGGCGGCATTTGGTCGCATATATAAATAATTTTGGAAATATGTTCTGCGGGAGATAAATACCTTGTTTTTGTCTATTTGTTGCTTTCGATGATTGTTTCGATCGTTTATTATATATAACGGTATGTTTTACGATTGTTTTACTTAGCCTTGTTTTTGGTCGAATTATCATTCCTCAAATTACGAAGAATTGTATTCTAAAATAACAAAACTTATTTTTCTACAATAATATTCAATAGATTAATATTATTTAGTATTTATAATCATATTTAAATATAATCTTAGAATATTATTTTTATTAATTATTCAATCAATTTCGAAATATATATATATATTATTATATATATATATATTAAAATAATTCATAATAATATAATCAAAATTATAAATATATTATATTTGTTAATATATATAATATTTCTTACTTAATTAAATTAATATTAGAGATAGTTCATTAATTCATCAATAACAATATCAACCAAAAATCAAAAAAAGAAAAACAAAAATAAAATCAAACAAAAAAAAACAAAAAAAAAGAAAAATAAATATATTAAAAAACAAAAACAAAAGAAACAGAGGCAACCAATAAGACAAAAAAAAAAATACAACAAAAATCAACATAGAAAAAAAACAGACAAACATAGAAAACAAAAAAAGAGAGAAAGAGGAAAAAAAAAAGAAAGAGAGAGAAAAAAAGAGAAAGAGAAAGAGAGAAAGAAAGACAAAGAGATAGAAAAATAAAAGAAACAGAGAGAGAGAGAAAGAGAAAGAGAAAGAGAAATAAAAGAAAAAGAGAGAAAGAAAAATAGAAAAAAAACCCATAATAAGAAGAATTATTATTAATGGAAATGATGTTCATCCTATAATCGATAAAGTGGCATCAGAGAAAGAGAAAAAGAGAAAAAAAGAGAAAAAAAAGAAAAAGAGAGAAAAAAAAACAGAGAGAAAAAAGACAAACAAACAAATAAACAAGAACAATAATAGAAATAACAAAAGAAGAAAGCGGAGCTTAGAAGAGCGAAACACAATACGCGACAATATACGGAAATAGGCCATCCTTACGAACCGCAAAAACAAACACAGACAAACAGAAAAATAAAGATTAAAACAAATATAAACAAACATTACTAAATAGACAGACGCGAACACGCGGAAATAGACAACGAAACACAAACAAACACAAAGAAATAAAGACGAACGACAAACACGGCCACATAGAGACAAACAGAGACAAACAAAGACACAAATAGACAAATAGAGATAGAGAGGCACAAACACCAAAAAGAAATAGATTAGGATACACAGAGATAAACAAAGATAGACAGAGAAAAACACGAAACAAATAGATACAGACACACGGAAACAAATTCGGACACACAAAAAGAGGCAAGGATATGGAGACATCCGGCACGAAATTTTCGAGAATTTTCGACTCGGACAAGTTCCCAAATTTCCCCGAAATTTGGCCCGATAATTTTTTCGGAAAGCCACCAAATTCAAAAGAAATTTGTTGGGATAACATCCGGAAATCGGTAAAATTTGGCCGGGTTACGCCACCGAAACTCTAAGCAAATTTGATTAAAAAAAAAAAACGAAATTTCGTCAAAATTTCGGAACCTTCCGGGCCGCGCGAAGAAGCGCGATCTTGCGCCGCGGAGCAAAGGCCGGGACACGCATAGCCGCTCGTCGCAAACACTACAATTCAGCCGAAATACCGCTATAACGATTTGCCAATGCACGCGAAATACGACCTCGAAACCGTACCGATTTATAGAAGAGTATTAATAATTAATTATGCATATATTATAAATTCTATTATAATTAAAAATAAATAAAATTTATTATTTAAACTATATTTATAAAATATAAACTTAAAAGATAACTATACATACATACAGATTATTTATGTTATTAATATAAAATTAATATAAAATACATTGTAAATTATAAATAATTTATTAAAATATATTATAATATACCAAAAATAGAAATTTACAATAAACATACATATATATCTAACATATATATAACATAAATAAACCACTAAAAACAAACAATCAAAAAAACAAATAAAACAAACGACAAATATCAAACATCAATAAATACATACAATACCAAACCATTTTAATATAACCCATTCATATTATATTATATTTTATTTATCCTTAATCAATTATTCATACTTATAATTATTATATAACAAACTTATATAAATAATATTACAATATGTGTTTAATTATTATAATTCCATTCAATCAATATATTTAATATTTGATATACTTTATTTAATCGATAAATCGACACCAAAAAATATGATAATAAAAAAATGTAATTCGAATAAATTAGATCAATTATGGTTCCCTGTTTTTCAGCATATTGTGACGCGAAAAGCGCGGTTTAGAGTTTAGGGTGGGCAATCATTTGGTGGAAGCCACATCCTTTGCTTTGTACAGCAAAATAAGTGGTCTTTTGCCACACCTACAATCAATGGCATGCATCAACAATCAACCGATGGCTTGTGAAGGCGGTGCCATTCAACTTGCCTCTGCATCCATGCTGAACAATCGCTCT